TCTATAGTAGCCATCCAATAGTGTTAAGTGCCCTTCTACCCATAGTGCTGTGTGACCTTCTTCACCTTTGAATTCTTTAGGTTTTATCTCTCTACTATGCCATCCTCCCTCCCCCCCCCTTATCAGAACTCAGGCCTGTCTGTTTTCTTCTGATCCTCCTCCCTGCACTTCCTGAGTAGCTAAGATTATATCTGTGAGCCATAGGGCCTGGCTAAAAGAAGAATATTATTTCATGACAAAGGAAAATTATAACTACAACTTCTTATAAATAAAATCTGTCCATAGATAAAATTTATTCTTTTATGGAGGGCTGCATTCTGACTTTCATGGACCCTAGGTACTTTTGCCCTATGGCACTTTTGCCCTACGGCACTTTCTTCCATAAAAATAAATAAATAAAAATTATATGTTATGACTATGTTGTTATAAAGAAAAAAATAATCCAGGCAGAATTCATTATTATTTTTTTATTATTTTTTTCTGATTTTAAAAGAAATTAAAATTCAAATGTTTTCATGGGACATAAAAAACATTGCAGACCCTCTGCATTCTGCTGAATAGCTAAGTCAACCATTTTTCCTTATTTGGCTGCTCTTTATCACAGAGACTGAAGCCAGTAGATGCAATTGAGTTTGTGTAGTGTGCAAAACCTACCTGGACCTTTGTGGGAAAAGTTTACCAACTCCTGGTCTAGTGTTTTACAAAGGACAAAAGTGACTTGCATAGTAACACACAGGCATGCCGCTGAACAGGACAGGGGACTGAGTCACACAGACAGGGACCTCTCCTTCACACCTGCTGTATTCTCAGGTTCCTGCAAGGCCTTCTAACAAGGGAATGAGTGAGCATCCTGCAGTCTGGTGATTGGATGGCTGGAATGATTTTCCCTAAAAGTTAGCCAGGGGGCAGGAGGAAGTGCCGTTGGGCCTTACAGTGAGCTCACTAAAGAAGTTTGGCCTCTAGGGCTCAGTTGATCTGAAGCGAGCTCCACCCCTAGTGACCTTGAATGGTGATTTGACCAAGGTGACGACAGGTTGAAAACAATGGGTGCTCTTACAGAATCATCTAAGTGCTTGTCACTGTGACCCTCAGGAGGGATATATTTTATCACACCATAGGAAATTGCTGAATTTTCACTTTTTGACCACCAAACATGAATTTCCTAGGATCTAGACTGTCTGATTTTTCAAACAGGCTGAGGCTGGAAGACCTAAGTTGCTCACTGTGGACACAGCAAGTCAAGAGAGGATAAAAGATCAAATCCAGCTCTGTCTGACTCCAAAGCCCTGCACGGAATTGTACATTCTTCTCCCATGAAACTCCACCCCCTCCTCTTGGTGATTGTCGCCTACCAAGGGGATAGGGTTCCAGTTTCCGAGCCCACGAGATCTTCCTGGCCTTCTCTTGCTCTCGTCTGCATTATAATCATACACTCCTTTCCTCTTTTCCATCCCATCCCAATTCCTCCCTCTTCCTCATGTCTGACATCTAATCTATCCCAGGCCCTATTGAGTTTACTTTTTTTGTTTGTTTTTCAGTACTGGGGATTAAAGAATTTACTGTTTTCTTTTTTCTTTCTTTTTTTTGTGGTACTGTGGTTTGAACTCAGGGCCTCACACTTGCTAGGCAGGCACTCTTCCACTTGAGCCACTCTGCCAGCCCTTTTTGGTGTTGGGTATTTTGAGATAGGGTCTTGCGAACTATTTGCCCAGGCAGTACTTGAACCCAAGATCCTCCTGATCTCTGCTTCCCGAGTAGCTGGGATTACAGGCGTGAGCCATCAGCACCCAGCCTTAAGAGCTTACTTCTTAATTACCATGTCTTCCTGGATATTTCTCTTTACCACTGCTTCCATTTCTGGTCCAGACCTTGCAATGGTTTCCTTCCTGGGTTCCCCACTTATGACCCTGTCCTTTCCACACAGAAATCAGTGATCCTTGTGCAATGCAGTTCGACCCCGTCCCCCTTCTGTGCAAATCCTCAGTGGCTTTTCCTGCCACCCTGAAGATGCAGACCTGCTGCTCCTTGTGGTCACATGCTCTGCAGTCTGCCCCTGTGTGTTTCTTGGGCACCTCTCTCTAACCCTGGCTCCCACCCACTCCTTGAGCTCCTCCCACCTTCCAGTTTTCTGAATGTGCCAAGCTTCCTCCCTTCAGGGGTTTGGTGCCAGGCATTCTCTCTGGAGTGTGTTTTCCCCACTCACTTCTTTACCAAGTTAACACACCCTACAAAGCTCAAAGGGCACTTCTGCCGGGAAGCCCTCCCTGACCTCCCAATCCTCGTTCTATTATCTCCAAGAATAGAATGCCTTTCCTTCTCAGCAGTTTTTGTTTCTACACTTACATGCATTTGTGGAATAAATGTACAACTCCCCAGCACATCTGCAAACTCCAAAACCAGGAAGCACGCGAACCCATCCCTGTGTGGCTTCTGGCACACAACCATGTACTGGATGGACAGAGGAATGCTCCTTGTGATCTACCTCCTGGATGTTCTCCTCCTTATCCTCTCCACCGCACCTCTGACAGGACACTGGACACTGTTTCTTCTGCCCCCTCTTGGAGAGTGCTTAGCTCAGGCTGCCATAAAAAACCACCATAGGCTGGGGGACTACAGCAACAGACATTTATCTCAGTTCTGGATGCTGGATGCTCAAAATCAAGGTGCCTGCAGAATCAGTTCTTGGTGAGGCCTCTCTTCCTGGCTTGCAAATAGCTACTTTCTGGCTGTCCCCTCCTGTGTCAGGAAAGGAAGCTCCAGTGTCACTCTCTCTTATTCATCCCATTATGGGGGCTCTAGCCACATGACCACATCTAAACTTAAGCACCTTTTAAGGGCCCCACTTCCTAATACCATCACATAGAGGTTAGGGCTTCAGCATATGAATTTGGGGGTGGGGAAGGACTCCTGTGTACCCCTCAAGAGACCTCTTCGATGCCCACTGGGCTGAGCTACATGTTCACCTTTGGAATTTTCTTTTCTTCTTGGCACACTGTACTTTTTGCTGTCCCACTTAGCATATTGTGATAAAATTGTTTTTCTCTGTGTTCATCGAGTGACTGTGAGTCCCTTCTGGGCCTCTCTGAATCTCCCTATGTCTAGCATGCCGCCTGGGATCCCAGCACGTGTCTGGAGGTGAATCTAATGCCTCATCTTTAGGGTGTGAGGCGTTGGACTGGCTTTTCTCGGGTCAAATCTGTCCATGAAACACTTGCGCATACTTCCCTGACCGTGATTTTCCATCCAAGGAAAGCAAACATCTAGTGCTGCCCTGAAGTCACACCTGTGGGCTTAACATATAGACGTGTCAGGTTCGGGGAGCCAGTGACTTGCATGCACAGCTGAGCACTTATTTACTAAGGTATTAGCTGGTAACCTTCACACATCTACAACCCTTCACGTGATACAGAGGACACATATTCTGATGTTCTTATAAACCATAAACGTGCTTCTAAGAAATGTATGCACTTCTAAAAGTTTTTCTCCTTAAAAGATTCTATGAATTTTTAAGGGCTTATGTAAAGGTTTTATTTGAATTTGTTAATCTTTTATGAGTGACTAGCTTATATAAAATGTTCCAGATAAAGCTGATTTAGTTCTAAAATCGTCCATGCAGGAAGTTAGGTGGAGAGCCCCAGCTTTCTCTAATGCTCCTCTCCTCAGTGCCCAGACCTGTCTCACCAAGCCAGGTTGCCTCCACCTCCAGTGTCCCCACCCTGAGCCATCACTGCAGGCCAGCCCTGCTGCCCAAACACCATGGCATCTCCTTTCCTCCTTTCTCTCTCCCTTGGGCTCCTTCCTGCACATGCTCCCAGCCTGCCTTGCTACAGCACAGCTCTGAGGAGGTGACTGCTGCTCTCCCTAGCTTCTCCAAAATGTGGGGGTCCTAGATTGTAGTCTGCAGAATGCCTTTGCAGATCCCCCTGCTTACTTCTCTCACTTTGTCCTTGTCCTTGTCCTTTCTGTTTTATGCTATACCTAGCTGGGTAGGGATACCTGTCTTGCCTTCCTGTCAGTATCCTCGGACAGTTTATGTCTGTATCCTTTCTTTCTCCCCACTTCCTTCCACTGTCACTCAAGCCCACCCAGCCTTTTCATGCAGCTGGTCACGCTGCTCTCTACACCATGCATTTTCAACAGGGCCCTGTGGCCTTCTGTGGAGCAAAAGTGGCTCTTGAAGAGGGGAGCCAAAAATGAGGTTTTACAATGGTCTGTGGTCCTCCAAACAGACATATAGTTTATTGGCATAACTAGAAGCTCACGGTAGGGGAAATTAGAGGAAAAAATGTCTAAAAAGGCTCTTTGGCAGATAGGGCAGGGGACAATAACAAGAAAAACGTACATTGCTTTACACCAGACCAGAGAGAAGGGATTCGGAAGGTGTAGTGAGATTTCAATAAAATTGATGGCCAGGCATGGCAGTACACACCTGTAATTCCAGTTATGGGGGAATCACAGGTAGGAGGATCACAGTCCAAAGCCAGCCTCAGGCAAAAACATGAGACCTAAAGCAAAAAGGACCAGGGGTGTGGCTCAAGTGGTTGAGTACCTGCCTAGCAAATAACAAGGCAGGAGTTCAAACTCCAGTTCTGCCACCCAAAAAATAACAAAACAAACTGATGGTTATTTCAGAGTGCCTAGAATAGTGTCTGGCAGGTAATAAAAGCCTCATGTATGTTTATTGTGCACAACTATGTCCAGGCACCTTTACATACATTGTGCCATTTAATCTGATACCCACTCTGCGCGGGAAGTGCCGTTATCATTATAGACAGGGAAACAGAGGCTTCAAGAGGTTGGTTTGATAACCGAGCCCTTTGATAACTGACAGAGGCAGGATTGAACCTCAAAGCCCAGAAACAATGGGGGAGAGGAAGCCCTTTCCTCGCATCGGGGTGAAATCCCCTCTTGTAGGGATGGAGAAAGGAGAGAGAAATGGAATTAACTGGTATACGTAGTTTTAGATGGCCCTGGACTAATGGAGGGTGTCCTGTGTGCAGGGCCATGATGATGACCGCCTGTGACCTCTCAGCCATCACCAAGCCCTGGGAGGTGCAGAGCAAGGTATGAATACTTCCTGCCCGGGGAGGAGGGGAACCTAGTACTGACGACAGCGGTAAGGAGGCCTGGACTGTCGGCCCATCCTCCAGAGCCATCCTCCTCTGCCAAGATTCGGCAATGACTTAAGAGTCCTCCACTGATGAAGGGTGGGACTGGGGGCAGGGATCGGTTTATCTTTTTTGGTGAATTGGACACAGAGCAGGGGTTGGAGGATTGGGGTGGCGTTTTGACTGCGTTTGCATGCGTGTGCATGTGTGTGATGGGGTCTGTCTGTTGCAGGTAGCTTTGTTGGTGGCTGCTGAATTCTGGGAACAAGGTGACCTGGAGCGCACAGTGCTGCAACAGAATCCCATTGTGAGTAGATAGGGAATGGCAGCCTGACGGAAGGTGTATATGATCCCACCCTGACCAAGGGGGTTATGATCCCACCCGCACCGCACCAAGGTATGGTGCGGTCCTACCATAAGGATGACCTGTTCCTTGGGTATGGTTCTCAGCCTCATTCCTTGAGAATACAGGAAGAGATGTAAATGCACACGCCCTGCGCAGCCATGTGCTCTTACTAGTAAGTCCTCCTATGGTTCCCTTAGCTCACAGATATGTGGAGCTTCACAGTGCATACCAAAACTTAGATTGCTCTTACTGTTCTAACTGTGAAAGGTCCACTTCCCCCTGGCCCTGTTCTATGTAGAGTGAGCACAGGGAAGCCCACCAAACTGCGAACCTACTACTATTGAAAGTTTACTTTACTGAGCATGGTGGATCACACCTGTAATCATCTGTTCACACTCAGGAGGCCGAGGCAGGGTGATCAAGAGTTTGAGGTCAGCCTGGGTTACATAACGAAGCACTGTCTTAAAAAAAGAAAAGAAAAAGACAGAGCTAAAGAGAGAAACAGAGAAAGAGAGAAGAGAGAGAGGAGAGAGAGAGAGAGAGAGAGCAGACAGAGATTCTCTAGAGAATGAGGGAAGTGCTGTACAATAAAAGACTCACAGTCTTCAACAAATAAATAGCATACTAGAACAAACAAAAAACCAGGGAGACCTGCTACTGTTTAGAAGACTTAAGAGAAAACTGGCCCAAGTTCTTTTCTCACCCAGGGATTGGGGACTGGATGATACTAAAGTAACATAATTAATTTTGTGAATATGATGATGGTATTGTGATTCTAAGTATGATTTTGTCTGAAATCAGCTTCTATCTCTTAAAGATAGAAGTACAAAGTATTTATGGAAGGAATGGCAATGTCTGGGATTTATATAAAATGCTCTAGCCAAAAGAAAACAAACGCATTGGATAGAACAGATAAAACAAGAATGGCAAATTCTGCTAATTGTCGATTCTGGCTGATGGGTACACAGTTATTTTCTAAGGGAGAACTACAAATCCCATGGGTCCTCACTGCTCCTGTTCATGACCCCACCTGCTCCTCCCCTCCCTTAGCTCCTGCCTAAGCTTGATGTAGTTAGTGGCCCAGCATCCTTAGCACATTCTCACAGTTCAGCCCCATCCTGCATCAGTGGTTTGTTCTCCATCCTTTCCAAACCTACCTCTACTTCTTTTCTCTATCCTCAGTGTCTGCAGGACAGCCCCTAATTAGTTCCTACCTCCTGTGGGAAGTGGGGTGACTGTCCCAGCCAAGTTTGTTTGCTTGCTCTTTCTCTTTTTTCCTTTCTTCTTTCTTTCTTTTTCTTTATTCTTTCGCTCTCTCATTCCTTCCTTCTCCCTTCCTCCCTCCCTCCCTTCCTCCCCACCCCTTCTTCTGCCTAGCACAGTTAACTCTTTGTCTCCCATGTCAGCCCATGATGGACAGAAACAAGGCTGATGAGCTCCCTAAGCTTCAAGTCGGCTTCATTGACTTTGTCTGCACCTTTGTCTATAAGGTAGGTCCTTGGCTTCCTCAGACCCAATGTCTTTAATAAACCAGGATTCCCAAAGATGTCAGGGAAAATGAACCCTGGAAAGATCTGCAATACTTTACAAAGTGCTTTTCATCTCCAGTGTACTTGGTCCTCAGGATGACTCTGGGGGTTGGGTGGTTGCATCCCCAGGCTGAAAGCTGGACCTTGGCACGTGGTAGCTGCTTAATAAGTAACCATGGGACAAATGACTAGACACTGTTTCAGACATAGAGTCATTGTGAAAAAGTAATCTGGAATTTCTTTTGAACTCTTGATCAAGGTTAGTATTGCTCTTGAGAAACCCATGACTCCCAAGTCTACCTCTCGTTTAAAATTTTTATTTTGACCACATTACACGTGAGCACACGGAGTCGGCATCACTGGACCCAGCCACAGGCAGACTGGAGCTGGGACTCAGCAACTAGCCAGGGCTTTCTATTGTGCAAGCTATAGCTTGTTTGCTAGACGAATCATAAATGCCCCCAGTGGGGACAAGAGCATCTCTGGTGTAGGGCAGACCAACTGGAGTCTTTTGGTCAACAGAGGACTGCTTGCACTACCAGCAGTAAGGTTGCAGCATGAGGGAGACTAGGTTCAGTGCATCACCTGTGTCACCACAGCCACCCTTGGGTAGGTACTGCTTGGTACTCACTGGATGGTGAGTTTTAGCAGTGGCTTGCTCGTGGTTACACCATTTATGACAGAGCTTAGATACCAACCCCAGGCATTGCTGAGCACAGCTGGTGCTGGCTGGAACTCGGCTTGCAGTGGGCCCTTACCATCCATCTGTGTCTCAGTTTCTTCAGATGTAAAAGTGATGAGATGGATCTTTTTTTCCACTTCACAGGGGCTTCTGAGGATCAAAGATGAATTGTTTCATGAACTATAATGTGTGTACTCAAAGCATTATTATTATTTTGGTGGTACTGGGGTTTGAATTTGGGGTCTTTCACTTGCTAGGCAGGCACTCTACCACTTGAGCCCCTTTGCTTTAGTTATTTTTTGGATAGGATCTCACTTTTATGCCCAGGCTTGTGTGGACTGCAGTCCTCCTATTTATGCGTCCTGTGTAGCTTTATTTTTATCTTTAGAGTTGCAGGAACCCTTAGGAATCATCTTCTCAACATCCTGATTTCACTCAGCAAATATTTACCGGGTATCTTTGTGCCCCAGACTGTGCTAGGCCAGAGGTTATCCCAGAAGACAAGGTAGCCGATGACCCTGCCTGCTTCAGGGTGTCAGCCTTTAGGAGAGACAGGCAAAAGGAGTCATTACAAGGAAGCAGGATGTGATAAGAGAGGGCTTTGCAAACACCCAGTAGGTGACTCAGTTTACCTAGGGCATCAGAAGAGGCCTCTCTGAGGAAGTGATGGTTCAGTGGAGGCCTCAAGGAAAGAGGGAAGGTTAGAGGGTTCCAGCAGAGCACAGCTTGTGTGAAGCCCACAGATGCGAGGAAACACTCAGGAGTTGAGACTTGGGTGTCTGGGAGCTCTAGATGAAGGCCAGGAGGGCCCTGGAGTGGAGGGCTGTGGCAACCATGTCACAGGCTTGCACTTCATCCTGAAGGAAGGGACCGCATGAGAGGGCTCTAGGAGAGGAATGGGATCATGCTGACTGGACGCCTTGTGATGTCAGTACATACATAGATGCCAGGCATTTCCAACTGTGTCTCACCCCTGCTCCAGAGGTGCTGTCTGTCTGTCTATCTGTCATCTGTCATCTCTTCCAGGAATTCTCCCGTTTCCATGAGGAGATCACCCCCATGCTGGATGGGATCACCAACAACCGCAAGGAGTGGAAGGCACTTGCTGATGAATACGAGGCCAGGATGAAAGCACTGGAGGAGGAGAAGCAGCAGAAGCAGGAGGCCAAGCAAGGTGAGTGGAAGGGGGAAGATGGAGTCCTGTCCACCCACTCACTCAACACACAGGATGTCTGGACCTGGATCTGCATTCTGTGTAGGAGGGCACCGAGGCTGGTGAGGTGAAGTCCCATGGCCAAGTCACACAGTGAGTAAGTGGCAGAGCCTGGTTCCTGGATTGAGTCTGAGGAATGTTCCAGCCTTCCAGCCAGTACCACAAAGCAGCATAAGGCAGACTCTTCTTGTAAGGCTAAGGATGAAATACACCTACCCCTGGGCAAAGGAGAAAAACCAGGAATTATCAGTTGGAAGGAATTTCAGAAGCTACATTTCCAGCCACCTGGCTGATGTTTGAATCCTCTCTATATCATGAGCCTTTGCTCGAATGCTACCATTCAGTACAGCACTGTTAGGAAGGTCTTCTTGGACTCAAATTGACATTGACTTGCAAAACTCTCGGGTGCAGCCCCGCATCTGCACTGCTCATTAGAATCAGCACACACTGCCCAGCGCAAGCAGAGCTGGGAACCTGAGTTCATGTTAGAACCATGTGTGAGGAGGGTGACGTGCAGAGGCTCAGTCAGTGTGGCAGGGACCAGCAGCCACATCCCGTGGAGGAAACCAGAGCACGCAACCAGTCAAAGAAGTGTCTCCTTGTTGATGCTTCCACCTGCCTTCAAATGGGGTTCATTTGTTCCAACTCTTCTCCCCGACATCACTGCCCCTCCCCTCCACTCACTTCTTTGGTTGTGTGAGGTTCTTCTGGTTAAAGTGTGAATTTGCTGTCCACATTTTAAAATCGGAATATTTCAGATTTTAAAATCCAGCTTTTCTCTTTAAGACTGATTAATTTTGCATTTCAGCATGACCAGTGGCTGGAGCTGAGCAGCAACTCCCTCCCTGGGAGGACACAGGGACTCTGTCTGGTTTGTCACCATTTCCCCCCCTCCCTGTGTCTCCCAGTCTTCAGTGCCAACTGTTGGTTGCCATTGGTCATCCTGTGCTGCTACTTTTCTTACAGAAGGGGAACATGGTTGGGCCTCCTGATTCTCCCCACACCTGGGCTGCCTTCTGCACGTGGGATTATCTGTTGGACTCTGAAAGCCTTTGAGCTTGGTCCAACCCAGGTCAAAGGGGAGCCCGCTGCGACTTCCTCTTACCTGCTGTGTGCTTTTCCTGTCTGATTGCTGCAGCCTCTGGAAACCAGCCTGGGGGGAACCCCAACCCCGGGGGTGCACCTGCATCCAAGTCTTGCTGCATCCAGTAGTGAGATGACAGAGCTTTGGACAGAACAGCGACCTTCTGCTGGAAGAGGTCCCCCGGGCCAGTGGATAACCTCACACCTTCTCGGAAAGCAAAAGGTTCATCAAAGATTTCAGAGCTGGTAGAGAACTTAGTTAACCTTTCATTTTCTGGGTTCTCAACTTTTTTTTAGCCTTGAAAACAATGTGTTGAGTCAAGATCAGTATTCTAGATTTCCTAGACATGAGTTAGACTTGCTTGCTATGAATCACTTTTGTTCTTATACTTTCATTTAATGTTTTATTATAAAAAGTTTTGGAGCTAGGCACAGTGGCTTATGTCTGTAATCCCAGCTACTTGGGAGACGATTGAGAGGATCATGATTTGAGGCCAGTCCAGGCCCCCACCCCCACAAAAAAGTTAGTGAGACCCCATCTCAACAAACAGGTTGGGTATGGTGGAACATTTTGTAATTCCAGCTATGTAGGAAGTATAGGTGGATGGATTGCAGTCCAAGGCTGACCCGGGCAAAAAACCAAAAGACCCCATGTGAAAAATAACTAAAGCAAAAGATGGCTGGGGATGTGGCTTAAGTGGCAGAGTGCTTGCCTAGCAAGCACAGGGTCCTAATTTCAAACACCAGTTAATGCCCCCCTCCAAAAAAAAAAAAAAGGTTTTGGTCATTCTCAAAAGTAGAGAACTGCACATTGAAACCACACAGACTCATCACCCAGATTTGAGTACCAAGATTTAGCTATATTTGCTTCATTTGTCCTTTTTATATTTCTTTCCATTTTTTTCTTAGCTGACATATTTAAAGGGAAATTCCAGACACATCATTTCACTCCTCCAACATATTTGAAGGAGTTACACATCTTGCTGGGTGCCGTGGTACACACCTGTAATCCCAGCACTCAGGAGGGTGAGGCAGGAGGATCTTGAGTTTGAAGTCTGCCTGGACTACACAGAGAGACCCTGTCTCAAGAAAAACAAACTGCACATCTTTAAAAGATTGGTGTTTTCCAAGGTCGCACATTGTCACCTGCAGCAGAGAGAGAGCACTCACACCAAATTGAGTGAGTGCAGTCAGCAGCCAGGCCTCAGTGCAACCCCTTCAGGGCTCTTCTCAGTTGCAGGATTCTCTGCGTCTGCTGGGGAACCTACACCCAGTGATCCAACCAGGCCAGGTGGAAAGGCCTGACCATCTTGCCCAGTATGGGACAGCAGCGCCAGGCCATTCTACCTCCAGGCCTCTTGTGTGGCCGCAGGCAATTGCTGGGCTTACATCCCACTCCTGCTTCCTCCCTTCCATTCCCCAGGGCCATCCCCAGGGCCCTCGCTCAAAAGCGAGTACACTTTTTGGAGAATCCAATGGATGGCACCAGCTCTGAATCGGCTTTTCCCATTGTCACAAAAATGTCTTGAATCTGATCCAAACAAGCTTCACACAATGAATTTAGGTATTATGTTTCCACAACCCCACCCCCACCCTGCAGTACCAACTCCGCCTTGCCATAGCCAGGCAAGTGCCCCACCACGTGAGCCAAGCCACTGGCCCCTTTGCTTTTAGTTCATTTTTCCAATCCAGACTCAAGCTAACTGCCCATGCTGGCCTCGAACCTCCACCTCCCCAGGAGCTGGGATTACAAGCATCCTGTTTCAAATTTTTGTTTGTTTGCTTTTAGTAACATATATGGTTTTTATTCTTAGCTTTTCCATTGATTTCAAGGAGTATAAATTTAGGTAAATTATTCTGAATTGCAGATCTGCTGTTCAACTAACAGGCTTAAACATAGTGCTTATTTTTTTAAAACCAAACCTAAGTATTTGGTAGATGTGCAATGCTTGGCAGAATTAGCACCCACACCATCAAAACTGACGTTGAAAACAGCAAAGAAGCCAAAAGCTGACAATGACAGTAATGTGCTTGAAAAGGTTGCAATAAATTTCTGGTATGCTTGGCCAAATTCTCCTTTTATTTCCTACTGTTTTCTACCCCGGAACCACTGAGGTGTGATTGACAAAATTAGTTCTCTTTAAGGCACACAACATGACGTTCTGACGGATGTACACGTCATGAAGTATTGCACTGAAGCTAATGTACCCAGCTCCTCGGTTACACCTGTTAGGTTTCTTTTGTTTTTGGTGGCACGGGGGTTTGAACTCAGGGCCTCACACTTGCTAGGCAGGTACTCTACCACTTGAGATACTATGCCAGTTCTGTTTTGTGTTGAGTATTTTCAAGATAGGTCTCACAACTATTTGCCCTGGTCTGTGATCCTCCTGATCTTTGCCTCCTGAATAGGATTACAAGCGTGAGCCACCAGCACCCAGCTAAAAGACCCCTATACATTTTAATGGAAAAATCATAACCTAAGAAATCCAAACAGCTTTCGCAGACTGAAAAAATACAGTGCCTGATTAATGAATTACTTATATAAAAAACAATTTGAAAACAATTTGCATGGAACATGGAACGCAATGGGTTACCTATTACATTCTCTTCACCGTGTTCTAACCCTCCGCGGCTCATGGGTGTCACACCACAGACGGCACTTGAAGGTGAAGTTTGGGTTGGGCTATAACTCAGAGGGAGAGTGCTTGCTAGCACATGCAAGGTCCTGGGTTTGACCCTTAGCGTCACCAAAATAAGATAAAATAAAGCACACCCCCACCCCCAGCTTTTCAGCAAATAAAGGTTAAACCCTTTTAAACATGAGGAAGTAACATACGCACGTGCACATACACACATGCACATGCACACACACACACGCGTGCGCGCAAGACTGAGCCTTGGAAGACACTGCTTGCTCACGTCACCCACCAGATATCTGTACACAAAGGAAAATGTTTCACTCTCATCCAGACATGGCGCACAGTTCAGATCCGTTCTCCATGACAGCATCTGACCAGAAACAGTTTATCACTGTGCCTAATGATGTTCTCGCTTGAAACCATCATGCCACAATCTCTCTTAGAGCACATTTATTTAGCGTGCCTGTGTGAAACCGTCGACACACCAAAACAAGGAAGTGTTTGTTCAGAAAGTGGTAGAGCCTTGTAAGTCACGGTCAGAGGTCATTAACAGAACAGATCTTACGCAAGATGCATCTGACTGTTTGGTTATTTGAAACTATTGTGAAGGAAGGAAGAGTGAACCAAGAGAGTTTTGGTAAGATGGGGGCAAACCTGGACTGGGGCTGGACGTGGTTGTGCACATCTATAAGCTAAGTACTTGGGAGATGGAAGCAAGATGATCTCAAGTTCGAGGCCAGCCTGAGCTACACAGTGAGACACCGTCTCAACAGCAAACATAGAAACCCTTGACTGGTGTCTTCTCTGAGAAGGTGACACCAGAACTGGAATCTCTTCTCCATTTCATGGTCAGAGTGTCCTTCAATGAGCTCGCAGGAGCAATAAGGCACAGTGGGGCAGGGCTGTGGGTGGTATTTTCTCTTTAATCTCCATTGTGTATTCATTAAGTTTATTTATAAGCAGATCACTTCACTATTTACAGTACATGAGCATAGAGATTCTACAGTTTTTGTGATGTAAACAATAACTCCACTGTGGGAGCTTGAGAAAAGAAGCCAGTTCCGAAGTATTTACAGACGTTAAAATAGAACTTTATACTCACGGAATAATAATACATAGAGCAATTTGGTTAAATTATCTATGAAACTATAGAATCTGACAATGTACAAATACAGGAAAACATTTTCTCATTTAGAAGGTAAGACAGATAAATCATATCAGAAATAAAATAGGACGATGACAACCACAATACTTAAAAGCAAAGAAGGTTTCTTCCTTGCCTCTTACAGATAAAGTGTTTATATAAATAAGGACACAACCCAACAAAATGGAAAAAATATATAAAAATCCTCTACCAATTAAAAAAATAGCAAAACTAAAAACTCGATTCTCAATCATTAGCAGTGTCCTTTAAAAAATTAAAATTTAGCTTTCTATTATAAATAACAAAGCAGATGTGTCCCTCTGTGTAGGTGAAATTCTTGCACCTTTCTTAAGAAATGCATCAATGTAATTACACATACACACGTACACACACGTGCACACACGCACACACACACACACCCCACAAACACAGCCTTGCACTCATTCACCCCAGGCTGTAGTTACCTTGTCAAGCTTCCTAATAAATAATGCCCCCCCTTACAGTAGAACCCCTGGGGATGACACAACCTCTCAGGTTTAGCCATTCCCTGATTTGACCCTGTCACAGAGCCAGGCAAAGCCCTGGCTCCCTATTGCTCAGAATCCTCTAGGCTGCGTGGTCATACCAAGAGAAAAGGATTTTGAGTCCAAGATTTGGAAATGCTGGAAGGGACCATAGAGACCACCTTGCCCAGTCAATTAAGGCCACCTACAGTCACTGTCTCAAGAAACCTGGGGCTGGGGAGCAGGATCTTGTGTTGCTTTCAACATGAGCAGCTTGCCTCTGGAAAAAGCAGATGCTCTAAGCCAATGCTATCAACATGGCACGAGGAGGTGAGTGGTGTGGGTGTGAATTTCTGGAGCAGATCATACCAAACTGGACTCGTGGATGGTCTTCCTCAGAAGCCATCTGGAAATCCATGTGGCTCACGGCCCATTTCACGTACCACCAGGACCACACTCTCCTCGAGTCTGCCAACCTGTTTCAATTAGAATCAGAACATCCCTCAAGAAACAAAGTTGGGAATAGTTTATGACTTTATTCCTAACACAAAAACATTTGACGAGATTTTTAAATACAAAATACGAAAACAAAAACTCAAAAAAAAAATCCGTTGGCTATTTGCTGGACCATATCCAGGGTCATGACCAAGGCCCCTCCTTCCCCAATTCTTACACACAGCCTCCTCCCTTGTCCCAAGGGTATAATTGGGCCACCTAGCAGAGGTTCACTTGCCAAGGTCAGCAGCTGGGCTGCAGTATGGCAGTTACAGTAAATCCCTCCAGGGCACCTGTACACAGGTCCACTCTCATCTTCTCTACCCACAGGATATCTAGTGCATTACTGGAGTGTGTGAGAGGCTAAGCAACTGCTTCTGGAATCTTCTAACCTTGGTGTCACACTGAGCTCTGAAAACACAGTTTGCTCAGGTGGTGACATTTCATTCTCAAGTTGGCATTGGGCGGGTCCAGTGGAGTTACTCGCCTTTCAGCTGGGTAGCTGGAGGATACAGTCTTTGGCCACTAGATGGCGACCACATGTTGATAAGGCAAAGTGCTGAGGTGGAAACTGACCACAATCCCCTTCTCAAGAACATAGCCCAAGGCCAGCAAAGTGAAAAAAGAGGCTTCTTAAGGCTTCCTTGGAGAATCCTTTGATGAAGAAAATACAGCATAGAGGGGTTCTACCCAATCGAATGCCTCTTTGAGGAGCTGTTGGACAGCATAGGGACTCCCCACCTACAGAACCGTATTTCCCAAACCCTCTATTGGACAGTTGAATTTCTGTACTCCTGGATGTGCAAAGCATTCTGATGAAAGGAAATTTCAGAAAATCTGCCCCCCCCGCCCCGCCCAATCCCAAAGCTCCAGTCACCACTGTTGTACCATTGAAGAAACAAAAAAACAAAAGCTGCCCTAAACATATGCAGTGTGATCAATGCCTCCTGTTGCTCCATATGTTTTACAATCATTGGAAAGAAATGTGTGAAAAATGTCTAAGTTAAGCTATTTGGAAAAAACAAGTGTATTGCTAGTATTGTCAGAGCAAGACAGAGACAGCCAAGTGGTCACAACATTCAGATTAAAAGCTGTTCGATGGGGATGATGACAAGGCTAATGTGAGATTGCATATCATCACCTAGCCCAGCTGGAGGGTTATTTCCTCACCATCCCCATGAGAAACTATGGCTTGGATCTGTCCTGGGGAGCTGGCCTCTTCCTATAAGCCAACTCAGCCAGGACTATGTGGGACTGAACTGGTCCCACAGCTGGCTGGTGACCTTGAAGGGAACCTTCCCTGTGAAAGAAGCCAGGCACAGCCAGAGAATGGAGCTGGCTTCCAGGGAGTGGATGGCCCCTCTAGTTCCAGGATGACAGTGCCACTATCATTCAGAAGTATCACTTGCTAGCTCAAGAAACAGGGGCCTGAGGTCACACAGCCAGAAAGAAATCTTGGGGTTTCTAGCTCTGAAATGGCTTAGAGTGAAATGATTTGTTCCACAAACCATTTCAATTGGCTGCGCTGTTTTTACTCTTTCTACAAAAGTGGTACCATGATCTAAATCTGTTGTTCCCTATTTCTAGGCCTTCCAGCAAAGAGGCTGGCAAAGAGCTGGCGCTATGCAGGTTCTCCTGCTGTGGCCACTATCTCAGAAGACCCCTCTGCTCTCCACACCAGCCCCTCCTGACCCCCTGACCCAGTCTGCAGGAGAGGACCTCACAAAGCCAAAGGAGACCCATATTTGCCAGAGGAGAAAACATGGAGCCAGAAGGGTGGTAGTGGTGGGGTGGATCTCAAAGTGCTGTGATTGGCTAGTGTAAAGTCTGCCTCTGCCTACTTCCTGAGCGGCCTGCAGCTGGCACCAGGGGTTCCTCCCACCCCATCTGTTCTGGCCAAGGGCAGCTCTCTGCATATGGGTTTCCAGCTCCCTGCCTCTCCCTCCATTTACCCTGTATCTCCGGAATCTGCAAACAGCTCTGGAGCCAATCTCTGTGTGCAAACACCTCAGGGACCTTGGGGCAGGCTTTAATATTTTGCACTAGGTCCCAGTTGGTTTCCTTCTGCCCTAGTGGGAAGGGTGAGAATCCCTCTTCTTTGGCCAACAAAACCATTAGGTTCACTTTATTTACTATGATACATCCAATGTCTTTCCTTGGTCACATCTTACGCTGGGATTATGAGCTTCCCTAAACTAAAGGCTACTGCTAAATCTCAAATGCTAAGAAAAATACCACACTTTTGACCTCAGTGACTCAGATCAATCCATCTTCTAGGGTTGACTCTGCTTCACAGAGGGGTGTCCCATCGCTCAAGCTGCAGGCTCAGCTGAGAGGTGAATTGAACTCAAGTCCTGGGGTTGGCCCCAGACTAAGCTGTCCACGCAGAAGGACTGTGCCTTTTCTGACCTCACCACCTGTATATACCACCAGCACACATATTGCATACATGGAGAGACCACCCCCAAAAAGCCAACCCGCAAGACTCTAGACCAAAGATACCTGATTACATTTCTTCCCACATCAGGACTTGAGCACTGACTATGTGGCTGGGAGCATTCCTCTCTTCTCCCTCCCGCCCTGGACAGAGCCCTGCTGCTTCCTTGCTCAATGCTGCAAGATCTGCAGGCAGATGCAAACACCAGTTGGGTGCGTTTTGATTCAAAGCACTTTTCTGGTGTGGGGGAAGGGAGTGGGGGCCTTCGCTGCACTCCATCCACTCATATTCTTTACCTCTTTGATGCATTTTCCTTCGGTAACCAGAGTCCTCAAGACTGAGGATTCTGATTCAGCCTTGTACCGACTGAGGAAGGAGATGGAAGAATTCCACTTAAGCGGTTGGATTGGACATTTCTGGAAAACACCAACATGGCACAGAGACGACAGTCAGCCTGCATTGCCTGGGTGGCTGTCAACACAGGCTACAGGAAGCTGGATGGTGATTACATGTAAACATCATCGAGAGCAAACACTAGGATAGCGCTACAATGAGATGGTTGCCAGTGGCAGCTGCTCCTTCTGGGTTACTCCTTAATTTGGTGGGAAAGAGACCAAGGTTGACCCATCATCCTAGGAGGGACCTTGGAATCTCCTTGGTAAATGATACACAGCACCGAATGGGTCTTCCGGATAGAAGTTGTCTGAGGGTTGGTCAACTTTAGAACTGGTAGCCTTGTTTGTATGGGATGGATGGAGACTACCAGATGCCCCTGGCAGGCATCTGTGGCCCCCAGCTCTGATCTCAGGCACATCAGGCCCCAATGCCACACTCAGATCTCTGCTCTGCTCAAGGGCCAGTGTCTTAGTGCCTTAGAGTGCCTTCGATGGAACGGATGGGAAAGAGCAGCTTTGGTTGACCCTGAGGGGGTTGAGGGCAGGCTCATCCTTTACTAAAAAGCTGCATTTCTTTACCTCAGCAACCACCAAAGTAGAAGCCCTGGCCTAGCTCAACTGAGGAAGCCTAGGAAGGCTTTGGGATAGTTTGGATAATGCCTTCCACACTCTGAGGCCCAGGGAGGAAGGAACCTAGCACAGCTGCAAAGGAAACCCTTGATGGAGCCTGGACTCATCCAGCGCTCCCAGTCCTGAATCTTTCCAATCTGCAGGGTGAAGTCTGTTTCCTCCTTGTTGTAAATCAGTCTTAGGGGAGGCAGAAGGATTTTAATTCTATTCCATTCTATAATCACTTATTATGTGCCCACCATGAACCAGGCAGTGAAGAATTATAAAGGAATTTAGAATGATTGGGTCTGTACTGTGGAAAGTTTCTTTTTGATCCATTTTTACAAGCCCAACTTTCCCTAAATTGACTATTCTACTCCTCTCCCCCTCCCCCAGCCAAGCAGGATTGTGTGGTACAGTGATATTGGAGTCACGTGCCAAAGAACAGCTTTAGGGGAATTTTCTCTCATAGAATAGGAAATAACAGGCAGGTTTGGGCCAGCATGAAGCCAAGATAACAAATGGTTCTATATGACTAATAGAAATCTTCCAAAGATTAGACCAGGATGACAAATACATTAAACTCTCATCAACTAGTAACAACTTCCCAGAGCACTGCACTGAGTATTCTACTAGCACAGCCAGGCCCAAAGAACAAGAGTGCTGTGATCAGGAGTTATATCTGCATTGGCCAAAGATGTGGGCATGGTGGCATATGAGCTGGGTATTTGCCATTTGAACTAGGGGCTGCCTTAACAGAAGCTAAGCCTGTTGGAATCTTCCCTTCAGTCTGTTTAACAGAAAAGGAAATAGGGTCTAAAGAGGTCAACTGACTTGACACACAGGCACCCAAATTCCCTATTTTTGCCAAAGCCTGTTTTCTCCAGCCTTATCCAGGGGCAGGGAGGATGCTCACCGTTCAGGACAAGATCACAAGCTGTTTCCCTACTGAGGTATTTGATGACCATAAAAAAAAAAAAAAAAAATCAACCACCAATTCTCAAAGGATTAGGCATTAGCAATAGATTAATTTAGCTTGTTTAGTTTAATGACTCACTTTCAAACTTTTTAAAAGTGCCAGGACCTTTTACTAAAAAACAAAACAAAACACCCCAAGGAACCCTGAAAGAGATCAGGGAGGAGCTGCTCTGTGCAAACCAGAGGCAATGGACCCACGCTGCCTGGCCATCTCTCTCTCATGAATGGCTCCAAGGCACTGGCAGAACGTCACACAGGACCTGGGTTGGACAGCAGTCAAGATTATAAAGTCTAAAGTAAAGGCCAATTAGAATGCTCTAAGTTAGAAGGGAGTTTGGAGACTGCCATAGGCACCTCTGTCCCTCACAGCCTCCTGCTCCCCAGCCCCATTTCACCAGTAACAACTTTACAGATGAGCAACAGGTAGGATGGACTGGCAGCCTCCAAGGGATGCCTGCACCCAGACCGTCTGTTTGTACTACTGCAGGCATGTCAAAGCCCTGAGGATGTGTCCATGGGAAGAGGCAAGCCCAGGACTCCTTTGGATCAAAGCTGAGGGCACACCCGAGCCTGTGCTGGATCTTAAATTTGCCTAATGCTGTTTATTTAGTCCCTCACTGAGCCCTCAGGCTTCTAGTCTTTTGCCCAGTTTAGCCAAACTCACCTCTATCAGTCCCTGAGCTCACCAGCAGTCAGTATGGAGACAAGAGTCAGAGGGTCTGGTGTGGGTCACTGGTCTGCCTGCTCAGTGGCTATGGGATGTTAGGCAAGACACTTGGCCTTTCAGGGCTCTGTCTGCTTCCCCTGGAGAATAGGACCAATGCAGCTTCCTTCTTTGCTACCTTCCTTGCAAGGCACTCGAGGCTCTGAGCACTAGCGGACCTTTCACTCTCCAAACATGAGCAGGGCACAAGATGGGGGCTCTCCTTGTAACTTGACCCAAACTTGCTCAAAATAAGAGACACGACAGGACTTGGCAAAAGAGGCTTAGAAAGCTCTTTCTGCCATTCCTAGTTGTGGTTGCTGGCCTGCTTCCTGGGGACCAGCCTAGTGGCCACCCAGCACCTCCAGAGCAATCCGGCCATGGGAGCAGCACGACTCAGTGGCAAACACCTCAAGACAGTGCATAGTTAAAAAATCAAGGAAGCAATACAATAATTCCAGGCACAGAACATCTGAGCCATAAATACATTATTTTAAGGATATACTTTTTTCTTCAATTAAAAATGCATTTATAGTCCCAATTCTATTCACAGGGAACAATTTCATCATCACACACTACAGACAAGAGATGTTATGGTGAACACAGCTGCAAGTCTATGAGAGGAAGTCAGTTGGGCGGGAGGGGCAGAGGGTGACTGACCCAGCACTTTGAGGTGCACCCAGGACAACCTGTTGGAAGCGAAGACACGAATGTGGCAGTGGAACATCAACACCATGGAAACTCACAGACAGAAGCAGCTTTGTTCAATGTAAACATTGATCTGTTTTTGTTTGTTTTTTTTTTAAAAGGAAAGGACAGCAGTTTCAAGTCTCTCTCACGTGTGTTCTCTCACGCTCACTTGCTCTCTCCTTCTCATGTACTTATTTCTTTGAAGACGTAAACATATTGGAAGGGCCTTGTCTGAGGTATTGAGGTATTCCTCGGAGGTTAAGGCTGTTATCAGTGCAGGCTCTCCTGGGCCTCTTTCAGTAAGCTGTCAAAATCCATGGCTTCGTACTTGCTTTTCCCAGTTGTGGGGAGGGCCTCTTCTGAAGTGGGATCTGGGGGTCAGTGAGAAGGGAAAGCAGTAAGCAACAGCGAGAGGCCAGAAGATTGGCTAATCTGCCAGTAAGGGTGAGCCCTTTAGAGTAGGTATAGCCCAAAGCGTCAGAGAGCAGGGATGAGCCCTGAACCTTGAACCTCGACTGCCATCTTGCTGGGACATCTGTGCCATGCTGTCAGTATCTCAGTGCCTTGGTGGCTCTGGTGTGGAGCAAGATGGCTCTGAACTAGAGCACCCTAGATTTCCTTTACAGCTGACATCCTGAATTCTACTTTTGCTGACTCCTTCCCGCCCATTAGTAACCTATTACCAAGTCACCTAAGGGAAGGCTAACAAAACTGGAATCCATATCTTGTATGGACAGAGAAACTGAATCCCACAAGTGGACAGGCAGTCAGATGGAGCAGTGTCTGGTCTGGGCCCATCCTAGGTCTCCTGATGCTTGTCCTGAACTCCTCTAAAAATAATTATTTCCTACGTTGTACCTTTTTGTCTGTTTTCACCAACTTGTGCCCATATGACAAGGGCATAATGGCAGTGTTGTTGCACTGTAGTCCATTAGTGGGCAAAGCTGCTGCCTGGTCAGAGGGTCACCATGAAGTGAGTGGCCCTTTATGGGGCAGAATAGTAGCCCTGTGAGGTAAAAGTGACAGACACTCATGGTCCTGCCAGTTGGCTGTGAGCACAGACTGCCCCTTCCCAGAGGCATGGGAAGCTTGACTCTGTCTTTGGTGTCCATCACAAGACAGCACAAGAGGGACCAGAGACCAGAAGAAATCAAGATGGCAGCCCTAGGCAAAGTGGCTGTAGAGCTAAACCAATCAGGAGGCACACTGGAGCTTGGGTGTGGAGCTGTGTCCAGAAGGGACTTTCAGTCTGGGTGCCATTAAAGGACATCACTGCCCCTCACTCTCTGAGTTGTACTAGAACATGGCTAAGCCGTGGGTGCTTACCATAGTCAGTGTATCTGGGCCAGCGGAAGTGCCGGAGTCCTCCGTAGCTCAGCTGGAAGGAGGGCTCATTGCGCTTCCTCAGGGTGGCACCATCTCTCAGGGAGAGTGCTGCGTGCTCGGAACACCGGTAGGTGATGAAGCCATACTTCTCGCCCCTGGCGGGGGAAGGACAAGGGAGGATGTTTCTAGACCAGCCTGATGGATACTGTAAGACCACCCATTGTCCAATGAGGAGAGAAAGCCATAATAGTTCAGTACCCATGTCACTCTTCCCCAACCCCATGAGAAATGCTGATGTTTGCTAGGCCAATCTTGGCAATGTGGCAATAGCAAGACAAGTTAATTTGGCAATGTTTGTCAGGTACTGGACACCACACATCACACTTTCTCCACATGACCCTGTGAGGTCAGCATTGTTATCTCCACCTCCCCAGGACGAAGCAGGCTCTATGCATTCAACTCTGTGGAGTTCAGTGATCTACCCAGGGCAGGTAGCAGATCAGGGACTCAAACCCATGACTCCATGATATCAAAGGCAGTTTCTCCACATCTTTGTCCATACTCATTTGTTTTTCTTTTAAATATAGCCATCCTAGTGGGTAGGAAGTGTGCAATGACACAAGAGATTGCTTTCTTGCTGAACCTTTTTATTATTACCATTAAATTAGAATTTAAAAACCTAATAACTTAGTTTGCAAGTGCGATGGGAGATAATTTAGAAATATTTCAAAACCAATGAAGCTTTGACATCTCAATTGTGCATTCATAGGCAACCTGTTCTGTGGTATGTTCTCTGACAGATAAAATACTGCTTCTCTAGGCAAGTGAGGAAAAGTCAGGGCCGCCTAGCAGATGAGAGGCCCAGGACTCACTGCTGCAGAGAAAAGGAGGCCTGTGAGCACTGTGGTGATGCAGCACAGTGAGGTCCCAATACAAGCACACTTTTGAGCTACCAAAGGTCATTTGCTGCCCTGAACTATCTCCGAGACAAAGGCCCTGATCGGACAAGAGGGCTCCAGTTCTGACTCTGCACCAAGGATCTGCTCAGGTAATTTGTCTGAACTCCCCCAGAAAGGAGACAATAGAAAGAGTAAAAATGGCTGGGGAGGTGATGGGGTGGACCCACGAGTTGCTGAGGATACACGAGGAGCTGGGTTGTTTCTAGGGATCAAAGTTTTTTTGGAAGGAAAGGTAATGAGGCAGGTGATGTTTTAAGAATGAGAAAGGTAATGTCTTACAGTAGTGTGGAACTTTGATACAATGCATAGAAACTACCGGGCACTTGGCAAGCCATCAGCATGTGTTTGCTACCATCACTGGTCACACCATCATGGTGGTCCTTCTACTGGGCCTAGCTCTCCAGGTCTAAGCTATAGATTTTCTCTGGCATGTCTGTATATCCAGCTTTGGATTGGCAGCTGTGTCCTCCTGGCTCCCCTTGTCTGCAGTGGCTTCACCTGACTTACCTCTTACTTCTGGTCAGCACCTGGCACTCCACAACCTCACCAAACACCTCAAAGCGCCTCTTCAGCTCCCGCGAGCTCATGTCACTGGAGAGATTTCGGATGTACACCACACGGCCTTCACCCTGCTCGAGAGGGGACAGAAAGGGACCTGCCTGGTCATTCTCCCATGGAGAATGCCTGGCTAAGAAGCAACAGCAGCTGGAGTCAGAGAAATGACAATGACAACCTCTATACTAGAGGACTTGTCTCTGTTGGAGCAGGGGCCTCTGAGTGTTGGGGGGGAAGCACCTGCATCCATAAGGGAGAGAGGGATTCTCCCCATCAACATGGCAACATGGCTCGTAGCTTCTGCACTTGGGTTTTGAGCCTGACTAGGGAGGTGGTGGGTGGCCTACGAGTGGTTGATGACGCATTAGGAACTGGGTTGTTTGCAGTGCGTGTTGGAAAGAAAGGTAATGAGAGAGGGGCATTGGGTTCCTAGAGACCAGCATTATCTTTGGGTTTACCAGGCAAGGTGGCTGAAGCCACAGCACAGACACTGTGAACAAGAAGTCACCTGCAGGAGAGCTCAGAGCTATATTGGTAGGCGCCCAGAATAGCCTGGCAAAAAGGACGGGTAGCAGAGCCCCAGTCTGCAACTTCCCACCTCCTCTTTAAGATTAGTGGGTGATTTGATCTGGTTGAGGCTGCTGCTCAGACACCTGTGCTGCGGTGGGCAAGTCCACTGTGTGTGGTTTGGACAGGCTTTCTCTGGAACAGGCACAGCTAGCACCTTTCCAGCCAGTCAGACAGGAAGAAAACTCAGGTCTAGGCTCCACAGAGGGATCACCCCATACCATGACGTATCTGGGTTCATTCAGCTTGGTAAAGAAAGTCCTTCTTCCCAACCTCTTGAATTCCTCAAGCCGTTTCTTGCCCCCACCCCAAATACTCTGGAGCCAGTTCCTTGTGGATGCCTGGATGCCTCCCCCCAACCATCCACATAAGTACCTCCTCCTGACAGTCTGGACACGACTGCTTACTGCAGGCATTTTAGTCATGATGTTATTAATTTCACAGTGCTTATCTTAAGCCTTAATTCCACTGTGTGTTCCTTTGTTTGGGAATCTATTGTCTTTCCCTTACTTCTGTCTCAACCACGGGACTGGGGACCTCATCTATCTTGTACATCACTCTCACCCAAAGCCTGCTATTGTGCCAGTCTTGTCAAACTGCTGAATGATCACCCATGGGCTCCAAAAAGCTGCTGTGCTCAGCCTGTGGTTTTAAGTACCTGTTTGTAGACAGCTGTGTACTTCTGGGACTCCCATGCTCCCCAAAGTATAGCATCAGGGAGTCTCTTTGTCAATTGTGTGTCCGTCCTACCTTTCCTCCCTCCTTTCCAGAACATGACAGAGTCAGCTGGCCCCAGATCCCTACTGCAGGCTCCTGTGAATATTCTCTGTGGATAGCCTTGCAGGCAACCTCACAAGGCTAGGGCTGTGGGCGAACTCTAGGAGAGTATCAGAGGTGTGGGTGGGGAGGATGGAAAAAGCTTGCTTGGTCTTTTAGCCTTGATCACGTTGGGGAACCCTTAGAAACCACACGGCCCAACTCCCCTATGTACAGATGAATAAACTGAGGCTCAGGGAAGCTGAGAGCCTGTGTATGGTCCCACAGAAGGTGGCAACAGGCTGGTTTGTGACCTGGTCAGCCTGGGCTTGTTCCCCTCTACCATCATCTGCCCTCCTGGTCCTCTCAAGACCCCCGAGGCCAGGTCCTAAATTGCCAGTCTATGGATTGGACTTAGCATAGTGCCACCTTTGATGGCCTTTGGTGACCTTTGTGATTTTCAAATGACAGAAATACAACTGAGTCTTGCAGGCACAGTTCTCACCTCAGCTCGCCCCCACTCACTCTGGACTCCAGGGCCCCAGATCACTTACAATGGCCTTTTCCTGCCGCTTCTTGGTGTGCCGGACACTTGGGGTTCCGTTGGGACAGGGCTCTCTGCTCTCACATCTGTCAGTGAACAAGCAAAGCAGAGGCATTCACTCTTGGGAGGGAGCAGGGCATGTGGGCGGAGCTGCCCCCCGCCCCCAGACAAGGGCTTCTTTAGGGCAGAAGCACTCAGTCTCCTTTGCAGAAACCCAGCTTCATCCAGCTTTCTCGGGGCCTCTCAGCCCCGAGAGCCGTGGCGGGTCAGAGCAGGAGCAGGCCTTCTGCCAGCTGTCAGGCCCAGATCCCTAGGCACCACTGGCCTTGCCTTTCTGTGCTGTTACCTTACTGGATCTGATTTACAAAACAAAAACAACATGGGGGTCTGATGCTTTCCCACTTTCCAGATGAAAAATCCAAGGCTCGGGTTCAAGGTGGGTCTGTCTAAAGCTAGGAGGGGGAGAAGTCGGCACCAGAAGCAGGTCTTCTGCTCCAGAACCCTGCTCTCTCCTATTCATGCCCTGGCTAGGAGCAGCTCTGCCCATCACGGCTCCCCTTGCCTGGTTGGCTGTCAAGCTTATCGTCCACAGGGCCGGGTAGGCTCCCTGGTGCCACACGCTACTACCTTCCTTGCCTGTCTGCACCTGCCCTCAATCCTCCAATGTGAGTCCATAAGAAATGCAGCTCCGAGCCTCCTAGCACTTGGGAGGCTGAGGCAGGAGGATGGCAGGTTTGAGGCCAGCCTGGGCTACATGGAGACCATTCCTCCCTGCTATTTTGCACCCCCCCCCAAAAAAAAGGCAACTCAAGGGATAAGAACATGGGCTCTTAAGTTAAGACAGCCTGTGTTTGAATCCTAGTTCCACAACCTCCCTGCTGGGTGACCTTGACCCAGCTACATAAGCCTTCTTAGCTTCACTCAGTAAGCCCTCTCAGCTTCAGTTCTTTATCTCTAAAATAGGGATCATCAATTGTCTACCTCTCTGGCCATTTGTGATGACTAAATCAGAAAATGCATGTAAATGTTTGACCCAGGAACTGCTCTGTTGGATGCTTGCTGTGTTTTGCTATTTAACCTCTCTGATCCTCCACTTCCTCATCTGTAAAATGGGATAAGAAGCAGATGTGCCTTCCAAGTGCATCTGTGAAGCTCAAATAGGGTGACAGAAGAGGATGTGACTTGAAGTGTTATAGAATAATCTGGGCATGGTGGAGCATGCCTGTAATCCCAGCACTCAGGAGGGCACATGCAGGAGTATCACAAGCTCGAGGCCAGCCTGAGCTATACAGAGACCCTATCTCAAAAAATAAACTGCTGTAGAATAGGGGCTTATTTTTCATTTGTAAAAGAAATGGCCGACTTTTCCCACTCGACAGGCTGAGGAAGAAAGGAAGGCATTGTGGAGTTCAGTTTGTGTAAGTTAAATGCGCCTCAACTTGTTTCCTGTTGATGGAGACTTGGCAGTGGTGAAGAAAGTGGCTATGGAGGAGGCTGAGTAGTAGTTTGTCAGGCTCATCAGGTCTGAGCCCTGCCAGGCCCTGAATAGGCACAGAGGTAACCAACTCACTCTGTCCAGTAAGCACAACAGCTGGGTCTGCACCTGGCCCATGTGTGAGAAGAGAAAAAGGAGCTGGGGAGGCAGGCCCACTCAAATCCCAGGTTGGGGTTGGTGAGGAAGAGACAGGGAGCTTTGGCCCTGGGGAGAACTTTGGTGGTGTTCTGTTTCTCAGAGAAGACCATCCCATGTGGAGCCCAGCCAAGTGACGCTAAAACCGAAGGATGATGGCAGACAGTCAAAGGTAGGTGCTCCCTGTGGGAAAGGAGAGGAGGACCAGAAGACGTTGACCAGAAGACAGCTGTGACTGCCGCTCCGACTTACTAAGGAAAGGGCTTGTGAGAGAACTTGCAGAAGCCAATTTGAGTAACACGTCATTTAGAATTTCTTCACACTGGTTTGTGGGATTCCACAAACCTCCTAAAACTGATATTTATGCAGTTTAATGGGGAGGGGGCCTTTAGTTTCATGGGATCTTCAGTTAAGACCCATTGGCATAGATGTATAAATACACAGCTGGATTTCCTAAGAAAAGCTATCTCTACATGACTTGAATTCTAGTCTCAGAGCACGGTACCCCACCCCAAGCAACGAATGAACAAGGCCCCAGGTGATTCTGCTTCTCTGCTCTGGACCTAAGAGCACCATCTAGTGGTCACTCAGGCACAGAGCTGGGACCGGCACCCACCCTCCACCAACCTCACCAGGAGGAAATCAGGCTCTGCTGTGAACAGGGAGAGAAGCAACTGCTTCCCCCAGCACCCCAAATCTGCAAAGCCTCTCTGCTTTCTGCCTAGCTCCCCAGCTGACTTTCGGACTGGCTCCATCTCACCCGTTCTGTGCACAAAGATGGTGTGAGCAAGTGGGCTCAAAGCGTATCATCCTTCTGCTGGAAGTCACAGGACAACACACGACACAACGGGACCAAGACATGGGAATAAGCCTCATCACTGTTTAATCTAGGCATTCGTCAGAACACAGGTCGGAATTATGCTAATCCTTCTTTAACATGTTAACGTCTCATACGTTTTAAACTGTGGCTCTGCCTACGTTCGCACAACAATCTCTCCACTTGACAAACAGAAAAGCAGAAAACAGAGTAAGGGTCAAACTCATTGGAACATAGGCAATAAGTGGCTAGGAGGTGGGTTTTCTTTTTTTCCCAATTGTCCCACGCCAGGCTCCACTTGCCTCCAGGACTCCCTGAACGCCCTCCCCACCCCAGAAGGCTCCCATCTCATAGTCTCTGGCCAGGATCTGAGCCATATAGCCCCCAGTTTCTGGGGCTCCTCTTTCCCTTGGCACCAAGTAGGTGCTCAGCTACCCCTTGTCCCTTCCAGAGCCACCCACCCATACCTGACATTCCGTCGGGTGGCTGGTGACCAGGAGCGGCAAGAGGAGCCAGAGCTCGAGCGGCTGCGGGAACAGAGCTGCCGACTGACCTTGCTGGGTGGGCTCTGGTAGGGACAGTGGTCAGAGCGAGGGGGGCTGACCCCTGAGTCCTCTTCTTCATTGTCCTCCTCGCCCTCCTCATCTTCCTCCTCCAAGAGGAAGTTGCTCTCACCACTGCTGCTGCTGCTGTCCTCAAAGACAGTGTCATATTCAGGGCTCTTGCACGAGGCCAGGTCTTCATCTTCCAGGGCTGTCTCCAGCAGCCCAAAGTGCTTGGTGAGGCTGGCGCGGATCTCCTGGTCTCTCAGCTGCATGGTGTCCTTGGGTGGAGCACCAGCATCACAGCTCCGATCTTCCTCCCTCCCAGAGGCCCGCATCTCAGCCCATAGGGAGGCTCCCTGCTGGGGCCAGTCCTCCAAGTGAACCCCAGACGGCTCCCAGGACCTCAGCACCTTCCTCTGCAGGGTGCCCTCCGGCCTGAGCACCTGGCAGTAGTCGTGATCTCCAAAAGAACAGGAGAAGGGACGCTTCTGGCCAGCCTGGGAGGCCAGCTGGGTGGGGGCATGCCGTAGGTGGGACAGGAGCTCACTCCGCTCTGGATGCCTCTTGGGCAGTTTGTGGGCAACCCCTGGGGCAGTCGTGAGCTGGAGAGCCTCAGAGGAAGGGAGACAGGGAGCTACGTCTTGGCCTGGGCTGTGCTTCATGTCCGGCTTGAAGGGGTCCTCCTCTGTGGGCTTGTACGGAGGTGTGGTGGGTGGGGTGAGTCCTGCCCAGGTAAGAGGAAAATATTTGAGGGAAAGGCAGAGGTTCTAATAGGACACTGGATTTTAATTTAAGGTCACAAGGAAATGACTGTGTGCCACGATTCCCTCAACTGACACAGGGCAGCCATCACTAACTGATCACCTGCTGCCGAAGCCTGGATGCGGCCTGGGCATCCTTCAATATTGGCATTGGCATGGGATGGAATGCATTTGCCACCCTTCTGTGGCTTGGTAAATGGCTGTTAATGCATCTGACTCATTAGAGATATCTCTTCCTACTCCATGTTTAATCATTCGAAGAGCCCCAACTCAGGTATCTCCCAGCATGGAGCACAGCAGGCAACATGAGTAAAATCGCCCACTTAGATTTGACCATCCCAGTGCCTTTGACGTTCTTGCACCTGACCTTGGCCTTCATTCTCCCCAAAGCATCACAGGAACTTGCTAAAATGCCTATCTCTTCCTCCTAGGATTCCTGAAGCCCACAGGGTAAAAAAACAGACACTTCTACATTTGGGGCTTTCCTGACTGCTCTCTCCGGACCCCACTCTCCCACCCAAGTTCTTCCATGTAGCAGGACCAGGTGGCCAGTGACCCAGATGCATCCTGTACTTCCAGTCCTCCACATCTTTGCCTGTGCTGATTCTGCTGCTAGGACCTCCTTCCCCTCTGTCTTCCAATGTCTGATTGTCCTTCAAGCCCAGCTCAAATGCCCCCTAAGCTGAGCACCCCACAGTCTTCCCACGCCATGTTCCTGCACAGCCTGACTCTCTTGTGCTCCCGGAACTCCTGCTCAGACTTTGAAACAAGTGTACATCAAATAATGCTCATCAAGTGTGAGCCTGCCTCCCCACAAGACTGCCAGCTCCTCCAGGGAAGAACTGTGTCTTTCTTTTGTGACTCCCCAATATCACCTGATGTGCTGGTTACTGGCAATGAAGAGGCTAATCTCAGAACCTGACCCTCCTGCTCATAACACCCTCACTGGGCATCTCAATGCTCAGTGTACCTGTGGGCTGGTGGCAGGGAGGGCTCACTGGGCACCTACACTGCCTGAGGAGCTGTTCAATGTGGGGGATTCATAGCTGGAGGCCTTGCCAGCTCCCCAAGAGCACCTCACCAGCTGAGCCCCTAGCTCACCTGCCGTGCCACAGAGCTCCACTGTCAAGGTCTGCTCAAAGTTCTTCTTGCCAAGAGGGTCGCTGGTGAGGAGAAGGAGGGCAGAAAGGGAAGAGGCCGGTCAGCATTCACCACCCAAGCATTGGAGCGGGGCTTGATGGAGTCTGGTTTTGCTGCCTTGGGGAGAATTTTCTGGGGGGGACCCCATCCTGGCTTTTGGAGGAATTCATGTAGCATGGCTTTTAGGGGACATGGGCAAAGTTGGCTGAAGGCAGAGAGAAGACAAGTGTTGTTGGCATCCATATTTTACAGATGGAGCAACTGGGGTCAAGAGTGGGTAAGGAAACTAATCCTACAGGATTGCCAGCTTTTTCCAGAGGAGAACAGAATTCTTACAGGGTCCTGGAGGCGACAACTCGTGAAATAACCTAAGGGCTTAACTCCCCATCTTTCCCCTGAGCCTGCAGAGAGAGGCCAGCTTCTAAAACCAAATTTCCTCCTAAGGAGCCAGCTTTTGAGGACTTCAGACGGCAACCAGGGCAGGAGCCTGGGGACAGGGCCAGGCTCAGGGACTGACGAACCATCTCCCCAACATACGAATTCAATAGGACAAAATCTCACAGAACAATATGCCAAGAACTGCTAAAAATCTACCTCTGTGACAACGCCAGCATGAGGCATCTGGGAGAGTCTGAAAAGAAGACAAAAAAAGAAAAATAAGATTCCACAACATGGTTATCGTGAGCAGGTGTTTCCCCTCTGAAAGAGACCTCAAACTTCCAGGGGTGCCAAGCACAGCTACCCACCCTTTGGGCAGGTGACACAAAAACATTGGCTATTTTTAGGGAAGGGCAGGAACAACTCAAATCCACCTTCTGGTTTGGGTATAGTGGTGCATCCTTGTAATCCCAGCTATTTGGGAGGCAGAGGTAGGAGGATCACAGTCACAGGACTCCAGCATATGTGAAAGCATGAGACCCTACTTCAAGTGTGAGACCCAAGGAAGGAAGGAAGGAGAGAGATAAAGAAGGGAAGAAGGGAGGGAGAGAGGAAGGGAAGAAGGGAGGGAGGGAGGGAGGAAGGAAGAAAGGAAGGAAGGAAGGAAAGAGAGAAAGAGGGAAGGAGGGAGGGAGTTGGGAAGGGAGGGAGGAAGAAAGGAGGAGAGGAAGGAAGGAAGGAGAGAGAGAAAGAGCGAGGGGAAGGAGGGAGGGAGAGAGGAAGAGAGGAAGAAAAGAAAGAAAAGAAAGGAAAAGAAAAGAAGAAAGGAAGAAAGAAAAAGCAAGCAAGCAAGCAAGCAAGCACTACCTTCCATCCCAGAGCCTCAGTCTGCAGATCTCCTGACTGCAGAGAGGACAGATGGGCAGGAGGACTAACCCTTTCTGGACAAACACTGTAGCACAGTGGCAGAGAGTTTTGACTTCCCAGGCCTGAAGCTGAGAGTCTGGACAGGAACTCTGTAACTAAATAGTTCTGAACCTTTCTGCCTTTTTTTTGAAAGTTAGACTGGGGTTTGAATTCAGGGCTTTGTGCTTGCAAGGCAGACATTCTATCACTTGAGCCACGCCTCTAGTCTACTTTGCTCTAGTTATTTTGAAGATGGGGGTCTCGTGAACTATTTACCCAGGCTGGCCTTGAACTGCAATCCTACTGATCTCAGCCTCTCAAGGAGCTAGGATTACAGGCATGAGCCACCGGTGCCCACTGTTTTTAGTTTTTTTGAAACAGGAGCTCAGGCTAGTCTGAAACTCGCTATGTAGCCCAGGCTGGCCTTGAACTCCCTACCCTCCTGCCCCAACTTCCCAAAAGCTGGGATTACAGGCATGTATCACAACCTGGCTTTTGTTCATGTTTTGCCTGCCGATTTTTTCCACAAACATAAGCCCAAGAGCTCCTGTTCCTTGTCCATGCCTGATGAGAAACTCAGAGATGTACAGGTGTTTTCCTGTCCCAACAACCCATTGTACAGAAAGGGAAGTAGAAAACCAGAGAGGAAAAGGATTTGTCCTACCTTGCCCAACATATGGGTTTGGGGACTTGAACACAGGGCTCCTGGCTCCCAGAAGAGCAGGGCAGGCTACACCCTCCCTCACAGACCATGGACCCTGATTACCTCTGGAAGGGAGCTGCGGACAGCTGGGGTCCTCATCCGTGTCTCCACACCCACTCTCACAAGGGCTCTCCAGAGCAGGGATCTGGGGTCCCCGGAGGAGCTGCTGGTCTTGGCCACTGTCCTCATCTGTGGGGCTACCCAGGTTCTCCTCCATGTTGTAGGTCTCAGGAGCCAGGCATCGTGAGGGCAGAGCACCTCGGGGCTCCGAGGGGACCAGCAACTCATCAGTGAATGTCAGCCAGGGACCCAGTTCAGGGTTCAGTCTCCGTGAACGCCTCACAGGGCACACAGAGCTCTCCAGCTTCTTCCCCAGCTTGGTCCATGGCAGGCCTCGGCCCAGCCTCTTCCTGCCCCACTCCTCTTCTTCCTCTTCTTCTTCCTCCTCTTCCTCCTCATCTTCTTCCTCTTCCTGCTTCCTGGCAGAACGGCTGACATCCCCTTTCACCTCCAGCCGCAGTGGGCGCAGGCTGGGTCTGGGCCCAGTGCCCTTGGGTGACGCTGCGATCCTCACCTCTTCTGCCGGGGACGGGTGAGCAGGGGAGGCCTGGCTGTCTTTGGAGGGTCTGGGCCTTAGCCGGGGTGTGAGGGAGGCATAGACAGGTGTGGCTAAGCGGTAGGGTTTGCTGACGTCACAGAGGACATCTTGAGCCAGAAGTTCCCTCAGGATGGAAAACTCAGCCCAGGGGGCTTTGGAGGGGTGCCGGGGTTGGGGTCTGACCTGCCTGAAGGGACTGCTGCAGGGTTGGGGAGCTGGCTCTGGGGCTTGCATGGGCAACTTCCTCTGGGGCAGGCAGTAGGTGTGCATGTAGCGAATGAGTTGCACCATGGCCCGCACATCCTCCTGGGGAACCTGGGCGCTGGGGTTTGCCCTGTCCAGTGCCACGGAGTTCCTGGGAGAGGCTGGAGCTGGACAGGGGCTTGGGCAGTCCTTCTCTGTTTCCTCATCCTCCTTGGTGAGGGGCTGGGGACTCAGCTGTGGTGGAGGCTGCTGGCCCCTACCTGGAGCGCAGGCTTTTGCCTGGGGGCAGGAGAGCACCGAGGTGAGGTGCTTATGCAGTTCTGTACAACTCCGGCTCTGAGACCGTGGCACAGGGACCTTCTTGTCCTGGGGGCTGTCCATCTAGAGAGGAAGAGGCAAGAGTGAACAGGGAAGGACACACTACTTCTCCCTCTGCCACTGGCCAGCCCAGTGTGTCTCACCTGAACCATGGGCATAACCAGGTTTCCTCCACTTTATCCCAGCCTCTGCCAAGGAGCCTGCCACCCAGCTGTGCTCAGTATATGAGGAACAAAGAAGTAACCAGCCTTCTTCAAGGCTCCCTGCCATGGAATTGAGTCCCTGCCAGGTACACTGCCACAGGACTATTCTGTTCTGACCACTCCATTCTCCCACTCCATACCCTCTAGTAACAGGGCCAGGACATGGACTGTTATGTCTGGGACTAGGTGTGAGAGGAGATCCCTGTAAATGGAGACTTCTAGAGCCTTCTGGAATAATAGGTATGTTCCAAAACTGAGTTGTGGTCATGGCTGTATGACTGTCAATTTACTAAAACTTACAGAATTGTACTTTTAAAATAGGTAGCTTTTAGCCTGGTGCAGTGGCATGCACCTGTAATCCCAACACCTGGGAGGCTGAGAAAGGAGAATGACTTAAGCCCAGGGGTTTTCAACCTGGGCAACATAGCAAGACCCTGTCTCAAAAAAAAAAAAAAAGACCTTTATGATATGTAAAGGGTATGTCATAAATAAAGTTGCAAGAAAAATTCAGTCGTTTCCCAGTGCCCAAAGGATAAGGGGAGGCTCCTTGGGTTGGTATCTGAGGCCCTCTGCAATCTGGCACCAGGAACTACCTGGCCTCTCTCTCAAGCCTTATCTGCCCCCACCCAGCCATCCACAAGGGCTGCCCTTTTGCTGGGGTTTTCTAACAGTGGCTGACAGTTTGTTTTGCCTCTCTCAGGAGCCTCTCAGCCTCCTAGAGGGCAAAGAGTGGCTCCCAGACATACTTGGTGCTGCTCCTTAATAGAACAGGACACAAGGGGAGGCGGGGAGGATCCTTTCTTTCAGTCAGCCAGGATCAATAGGGAGAGAGCACAGGGACAGGGGAACCTAGCAAGGGAGAGGTTCCTTCTGAACCTCTGTGTGGCAGGCTCCTAACTGCCTCTGAGGGTACGGAATTGTACTGCAGTCCCCTGGAGGGATGTGTAGAGCAGGACCAGAAGATCTGAGTACAACTTTGAGGAACAGGAACCCTGGGAAATCACCTGTTTAAACTCACCCCACCCCACACACCCCATTAGGCTTGGACCATCGGGCCCAAGGAAAAAAGAGGACTTGCTTTGATCCTGCATATGTAGCACTCTAACTGTCTAATGATTCCTCAGAAAAGAAATCCCAAAATCCCAGTGCTTTACTGACTGCAGCCTCCACTACCAGTAAGGATCTTGTTCCCATTAGAACATGAACCCTGAGGGCAGGTCACACCTTTTTGTCCCTGCTCTAACCTATGCTAACACCTAACATTGCCTAAAACACTATAACCCCACACTGGGCTGGGTCTCAAGAAGCACTGCCTAGGACACCAGCTTGGCAAGGGCTGTGTGAGGAGCAGGGGGAGAAACTAAAGTGGATTGAATCTGCCAACTCCTAGCCAGAGCTGACAGCTGTATCTCAGAGAGGACACCTGGGAACCCAGGCCACCTCCGGACATGTGCAGAAATACCTTGACACAAGGTCGCTGACTTCTGGACCTGAGGCTGGCCTGGTGCCAGTTGATGCCCTCCTTCTGGGTGTCAGACTCTGACGTCGGGGAGGATGTGGCCAGAAGGAGCTTCTGCAACTACGAAGAAGCAGAGGGAGAGAGGCTGGACCCAAGCATGGCAAACGACTTCAAGGACCACATGGCCAGGTGACCATGCCCTGGGTACCACCAGGGATGGTGGAGAGGCCATGTAAAGACCTAGTACTATGCTACCAATACATTAAGCACAGAAAGCAAATTATCTTAACAATCCCTAACACATACAAGTATCCCACTGACACGTAAGTCCTTTTCAGAGTTAATAACCTAAAAGAATCGCTGTGACTTTGAGAGACAGGTCTAGGGTAACGCCATTACTGGGACCTTCCGCATATACTTGTAGTACACACATGCACTGACACACAGTCTGGGAGGTGAGGCACCAAAAAAAGATTCTCTGAAGTGGGATTATAGGTGATTTCCCTTTTGATCATTCATATGACCTTTTAAAAAATTTATTTCTTAAACAAGTAATATTCATAAATGTTGAGTGTGTGTGTATGTGTTTGTGTGTGACCAGAAACACTAATGGATGGACAATTTAAAAGCAAGTCTCCCTCCTGCCCAAGGTCCCTTTAGTTTCTTTGACCTTTTTTTTCTAATGAATTTTTCTATAGAGATTATCGAAACTTTCCTGCCTCTGCCCCCTTGTGGGCAGGTACACAGCAGATCTAAGCTGAACACATCAGGTGGTTACACCTAGGACCCACTATAGCCAAGAGTGAGAACAAGGTGGAAAACAGCACCAAGTGTTTTCTGGAGAATACATTCCCTACCATGCACCCTTTGGGAGGGAGTGTCAAAGGCCCAGGAGGTGCAGAAGAAAACATGCCCCACCTCTGAACCTGAAGGATCCCCATCACCTCACCTACACCTCAGTGAGCACACACATTTGTGATTCTGACTTTGGATAGGAAAGGCCTTTGGGCTAGAGGAGGACCTGGTTCTAGCCCAGTTCAGCCCCGCTCCAGTGAGTCCTTGGGCAAGCCATTTCCTTCTCTGAGCCTTGGTTTCTCTGTTGGCATTAGGAGAGGCAAGGAGACAGAACGAGTGGAGCTGAGGCTTTCCTTGACTCTAAGAGCACAAGAAATGGTGCTGACCACAGAAAAATGCCCAGCTACCTATAGGTCCTCAGGTTCTCCTAAGTCCATGGATTATCTGGATCCATGGCAAGAGCTAGTAGCTAGACAGTGAGTCTGCTTCCCATAAGCCTAGCATAGTGTCTGAAACAAGGCACTCAGGAAATGTGTGTGGAGTGAGGCAGGTGAAGGCATGAGAGGGAAATGACCTTTGACCAGCAGGGGTCACTGTTTGCCTCTCCCAGATCTGGTCCTTCAGTAGAGGCCCCAGGCAGAAATGATACTTAGCGTTGCCGTTATTACTGCTCATGGTGGTGTCAGGACTGTGACTTAACCAACATGTACTAAGCAGGTGTACGTGCCAGGCACTGTTCTAAGTGCTCCCCAGGTATTTCCTGCCGTAATCTTCCTAACAGCCTTTGACCCAGCACTGTTACCCAGCTGGGAAGCTGAGTCAGCAAGAGGTTGAGGGAGGGTCTGTGCCTAAGTAACCCACAAGCACTAACGGGCAGAGCTTGAGTCAAACCCAGGTCATCTGGTTTCAGTCTGGAAGGAAGTAGGACCCCATCAGCCAGGGTCCTGATGCGACACAGCACATTCTGTGCTCACTAAATGTTTCCCGCTGCTTCAGGGATCTCAAAGGCAGTGGGAGGAGAAGGAAAAGGGCCCAAGGCCACGAGTCAGAACACCTGGATTCTAGACTATGCTGTGTGACCACAGAAGAGACTTTCCTCATTCTAGCCCTCAGTTTCTTCAGGTGGGCTTGATGGTCATCAAGGGCCTTCCCAGTTCCACCTCTCCCTTGACCTAAGAACCCTCCCTGCTCCAATAGATCCTGATGGCCTAGGTGACAATAACCAGCTCCAGGAGCCACAGTTTTAAGGTAAGGAAGGAGCCCAAGGCAACTGGGCTTTGGCACCCTTGGCCCGAGTTGAGGGCAAGTGCCATCAGTATCCTGTGCAAGTCAGATCCTCTAAAATTCTGGTCAGAGCTGATGTGTTCTGTCATTATGCCTACTTCGATACCCCACACACGTGCAAAACATTTCACCTGCACTGGGGGTGGGGGGAAGACTGGAAACCAGTCCAACTTCTTTGAAAGGTAATCTGGAAGGATCTGTGTACACTGAAAACTCATGTGTCCAGAGACCCAAAAATTCCACTTCTAGGGATTTATCCACCTACATGGGGCAAAGGCCTTTACAAGTAGTGACTGAAGCACTGTTTGTGACAGTGGAAGAGCTGGGAGAACATAAGATCCATCAGCAGTGGAATGGTTAATGCGTGGCACATTCTTACCCAGAAACACTACACAGCCAATAAAAAGGATGAGACAGAGCTCTACATTCCAATCTGGAAGAGTTTCCAAGACACACAGTTCAGTGAGAAAGCAAGGTACAGAACAATCTATAATACAGGCTCCCTTTTGTGGTTAAAAAAAAAAAATAGATGAGGAGGAAAAGTCACATAACGCACCAGTAACCATGGTTACCTCTGGGAAAGGCAAAAGCAATTGGTAGAGGGCTAAGGAGGTTTTGCTTTTAACTGTACACATTTCCTGCTTGTATTTTTACCCTGTGTGGAATCTCAGGGAAGATGTTAGCATGCAATTTCAAGGGTTTAACACAGGACTAAGGTCAGTCTTTGAAATTCCAAAGCGCCTACAGAATGCAAGTGAAGGGCTGGCAGAATGGTTCAAGTGGTAATAAAGCGCCACATGCCACCCTAGCAAACATGAGACCCTGAGTTCAAACCCTAGTACTGCCAAAAAAAAAAAAGGCACACAGAATGCAGGTACTAGTGCTAGTTCCACTGTCCAGATGGGAAAGGTGAGGCCCAGGGAGGCCTCCCACCTCCAGTCCAGGCTCACCATGGGAACCACGTTGCTGTGCTCCACAGGACCCTGTGGGGTGGGGGTGGGGGACCTTGGAGCTGATGGCTCTGCCTCCATCACCCTACAGCTGGACACCCAACCCCAGGCTATCGCCTCATCTAAGAAATGGATCCTCACCAATGACAGCTCATCCACCTCAGACACTGGGGTTGTGAGCCTCTCCAGGGCGGGGCTGGGGGGTGCAGACAAGGGGGCAGGTGAGGCTGAGGCACAGGACGGCGTGTCTCCCTCATCCAGGCCCGGGAAGGCAGCCAGTCCCACATCATCTTCAGGGATGTCGTCCAGGGTCTTTGTGAGTGCTGCTAGGAGGGCCTCATTCTCACTGTCGATCTGGAGTGGGAGATAGAGAGGGGAGAGAGTGAGTCATCACTTGGGACTCAACTCTCTGCACAGAGGAAACGGGCTCTGCCTGTCCCATGAGCCACGATCCTCCTCCCAAACCCCCACTCCCCGGGTCTCATCAGATCTGCTCAGTATTCCTGGGATAGCAGATGCTCAATGAACACGTTGCCAACTCCAAGAATCACAGAATTTTATGAGCAGGCAACAGGTGGTGTACGGACTGCTCTGCAGTCCCAGCCCTTGGCATGTGACCTGGGGCAGAAGGCTATCCACCTAAGGTCCTTTGCCTCTTCCACCAGGGACTGCTGCAAGCTGTGTCCCATTGCAGGTCCCAACTCCTTAGACCCTGGGTCCCAGATAGAGTGGAGGCTGTACCCTGCATGGCACAACCACGACAATGATAACCAGAGTAGTTACTGTTCCCTGTGACCAGGGTTGCTCTCCTTGCTCAGTCAAGAAGAAGCACTAGGGGTTGTGGTCAGGAGCTTGGGCCCTAGAGGTGGGGCTGAATCCCACAGCATACACTTACAAACTCTGGATGCTTAGGTACATTTGTTTCCTCACCTGCCAGATGGGGTAACAGACTGGACCCACCCCATCGGGTTCCTGCTGAGGACTAGATGAACCACTGTAGGTAATATGCTTAGCAAATGGTGCCTGGCAGGAAACAAGTGTTCACTACGCTGACAACTACAACCATGAATGAACTACCACAATTCCATGACAGCGATGATGTGGCTGGTCTGCGCCTGGCTTTGTATACTGGTGGGCCAGCACACCAAGACCACCATGCCCTCCCCCGGCGGGGGGCGAGCAGAGTCCTGCCTCCAGAGGAGACTACAGTGCGTTTCAGAGTATGAGAAAGGCTGGGTGGGGATGAGTGGGGGTCAGAGGAGGAGGATGCTAGGATGGGGAGGAAGAATGTGATGAAGATTGTAGGCTACCCAGGGTGGCCAGGAAGCCTTCTCTGAGCAGCTAACACTTACTTAAACTTGACAGCAACCAGGCAAAGGGCTAAGGAAAGAAGACCCAGCAGAGGGGAGTCCCAGTACAAAGGCCTGGGGCATAGAGCTTGGCCATGAGGAGGATGGACAGACTTTGTCACAAGGGCAGCACTACTCCAATCTCCATTTTGCAGGTGAGGAAACTGGTTACCCAAGCACAGCTAGGTTCTAGCCCACGTGCCCCACGCACAGAAGAACCAGTGCTCTTCCTTTCCTACTGTCTATAATCCACGAGGAAGGTCAGCATTCATGGGCCCTGGCCCCAGGCCAGAGGTCAGGAACAGAGACCACGCCGCTCCTAGGTGAGGTCAACTCCCGGGCCTGTCCTGGCAGAAGCACATGCTGTCACGTGATGCTTCCCCAGCACATTTCCCATCCCAGGTCAGGCTGGTTTCCTTTTTCAGGAAGTGCAGCTGAAATACACATCTCTCGTGATGGCCCTTTGGCTGCACTAAATCTGTTCCAGGCCTTGCGGCATGCGCAGTGGCTGAGTAAATTGGTGGGGGCAGGGGGGAGAAGGAGAACAAATATGTTTGTAATTTTTAGAACAGAACTAAGAATAAAAGAAAGAAGATCTTGGTTGGCTCTGACCCAGGGCCCGGGGCTGGGTACCCCCAGGGACACGGACTCTGGCTCTAGAACAGTATGGGGACTCACCTGAGTGCTATTCATCCACATGTCTCCCCCAGCCCTCAGGCCAGGCTCCCAACATTGTGTCCTCAGAACAATGTGTCCAGTTTGATCCTGGAACCTGGGGCCCAAATACCATACTTGGGGCTGACCACATGGACTCTGCCACTGACAGGGTGATTCTGAGCAGGTCACTTCCCTCCTCTAAACCTGTTCCTTTTCCTGTAGGATGGGAAGACATGACCCCAGGGGCCTCTCCTGCAGGACTGATGGGAGTGCCTAGCTCTGTATCTGGGCCATGGGAAGCAGCAGAGTTGCTGAACGAAGGAATGAATGAACAATGCCGGGAGTTCAGTGTCTCCGAGACCAGATTCTAGAGGGAAGTCATCCAGAGATGACATCATCAGCTCTGGGTAGAAAGAGAATTCCCACTCTTTCCCAGGGAGTGTAACAACTGACCTGAGACACTGTGAGTTATCACACATACAGGGTCATATTGTGATCAGTGCATCAAACACATGGCATGCGTGGCCCTGCTCCCACATTACTGACCGTGGGACTGGTAACTTCCATGCCAGCATGTCTCCTGACACAGGGCTCCAAGCCACAACTCCCAGCCAAACACAGCTGGTGATCCTCAGGAAACGTACCCGCCCTTCTTTCTACAGGAGGGGGTTAAGGCCCCTGGAAAGAGGTTTGTCAAGGCAAGCCGGGACATGGGGTCAAGGACAAAACGGGGACTTAGAAGGCCAACTGACTACTGGAACACTGAGTGCTGGGCACGGGGTTGAAATGAGCACACAATGACAGAGACCTAAAGAAGCACCCATCAAGTTGGGTAAAAATGACAATGACTAACAAAAGGCCTCTGTCAGCCCCCTCCCACATGCTGCTCAGCTCTGGAGCAGCCCAGTGGGGCTGGATGCACTGAGCCAGCTGGAAGAAAGGCCACTCCTGCCCACGAGGCCACAGTGGCTCTCTCCAGGCTTCTGGGCCATCCCGTAGGACCCTAGGATAACACGTCACAGGGAGCTGGCCACCCTCCTCTTCCTGGACCCATTAGTTCGCTCTCCCTGCTCAGCTTAGAAGCAGAGTGCAAATTAATGGAGAGTTAATCAGCTGAGGAAGGGATATTAATAGACTCGGCCCCACACCCAGCCTTCCTGAGCAGATCCCAAGCTGGAGGAAAAGGAGCCCTAGAGAAATCTGAAGGAAATGCTTCACTGGGGACCTGGAGCAGCTTGAAGGAATGGCAGAGAAGTGCATTTAAGCTGTCAGAGATCCTCCCTGTCCAAGGGGCTTCACTGAAGCCCCAGAAACCTGGGAAATTGACACACTTTCCCCCATTTTTCTGGGAGAAGGTCCATGATTATCTCAGTGTCTGGAAGGGTTTTGTACACCTCTGCTCTTCCACCCTCAACAGATCACGAGCTACTCATCTAGTCCATGCTCCTTCTGGATTCCTCACATGGGGAAACTGAGACCCCACTAAAGAAAGCAACTTGCTCAAGACTTCATGCTGCATAACCAAACACCTGCTTAGCCTAGAAACATTTACTAAGTGCGAGTCGTACCCCAGTCCAGGACTCTGGGCACACAGAGGAGTGGAAGGTAATGTTCCTGTTCCTAAATGATTGTCAACCCTTGTAACTATAGCCTGTCCTCCATTTTCCTAGTTTGGTTCATAGCAATGGTGCCATTTGATTGCTAAAATATGGCTGATACAGGCAGCCAGGCTCCATAATGTCCACTGGTCCCATGAGGATGCTCTCTTTGCTAGTGGCAGAAGGAAGATAGAAACCCATGGTCCCTGGGTGTCCCCTCAAGGTTTTGAAATGGATCATGCCTAGCCCAGGCAGAAGAGAAAACCTTACAATCAGTTCCTTTATTTAAAATGCATGAATTTAGTCTTGGCCATGTAGGGAAGCCCCAGAGGTGAAAAAATGTTGTCATTAGGGAGCTCACAGTCTGAAAGACATGAGAGCTGACCAACTGCCTGAGCAAGAGGCAACATAAGCTCTGGGAGTCAAAGGTTCATTAATTTTATGACTTTTTTTGTGGGGAGTACTGGAGTTTGAACTCAGGGCCTTGCGCTTGCTAATCAGGCATACTACTATTTGAGCCACTCAGCCAGCCCTTTGTCCTGGTTATTTCTGAGATAGGGTCTCACTTTGTGTCCTGGCCACCCTGGACTGCGATCCTCCAACTTGTTCTTTCCCATGTAGCTATGGATGACAGGCACACACCAACATGCCCAGCCATTGGTTGAAAAGGGGTCTTCTGAACTTTTTGCCCAGACTAGCCTGTAACCATGATCCTTTTACTCTCAGCCTCCTGAGTAGCTAGGTGGCTTGAGTCACAGGTGCAGCATTTGATGACTATTTATTAGGCCCTGACAGATGCCAGGACACTGGGGAAAGCTGTGGGAATATGACAAGGCACAATGCAGACTGGGCCCCAGAGACTACAATGGCCAGAGTTGGGCGGAGGGATGGTTACAGGCCTGATCACACACATGGTGGGTGCATTGGTGAGTAATGGATGAAGCTGGCCTGGTCTGGGGACAGTTGGTGGAGTGTGCAGGCCATGAAGGGGAGAGGGGCGGTGGGTGGAGCTCTTCTACCTGTGAGGACCATCTTCTCACAAGGCTGGGAGCCTGGGGGCCACACCAGCTTCCTCTGGTCTGAACTCATTTTGTGTCATAGGAGGACTACAGCAGAGGCCTGCTGGGACTCTGGACCGGAGGAAAAGGTGTGTATGTGGGGAGCTGTGCAGGTGAGGTGGTGATGGTCTCCAGGCAGCACCCAGACCCTTCTCAAGCATTAGCCATCTGCAACCTGAAAGCAGTTTTGGGAAACTGCTCCTAAGGAATCATCCCCATTGCTCAGATAAGGTCCTGAATGGAGCTAGAATCACAGTCCTGCTGATCCCTCATGGGTTAGTAAGGGGGTTTAGCATAGCAGGGCAGGGTATGGGGTCCTAGGTTAAAATCTTTGCCCTCACCCTTCCTAGCTGTGTGACCGTGGGCCAGTTACTTCACTTGTCTGGGCTTTAGTTTCCTCACCTGTAAAATGGGTTAATAGTGTGCAATTTACAGGTTGTAATAATCTTGGGAAAATCTAAACTGCTATGGTACAAAGACTGCATGGTGAAGCCCCTGCCTATTTCTCTGGTCCATCTCAGCCATCATCACCCCCACCCACCCAATCCCCTTCCTACTTCACACTCTGCACTGACTGCTTCTCTTGTCTGGAACACTGACCCTGCTCTTCAAGCCTTCCAGAGCTGTTGCTGCCTCGCCTTTCCACTCTTCCTTGGAGAGGCCTTTCCCGACTCTAATCTGCTGTTCTGGCTGTTTCCTCTTGGGTCCAGTCACAAGTGACTGCAGCTGGCTTATGTGTCTGCTGACTTGGGACGTCTCCCCTCCAGACTGTGAGTCCACCAACAGACACAGTGCCGTACTCTGGAGCGCCACAGGCCTTTCTAGAAAGACTGATAAGAGTCCATCAAGGATGACTTGAGGAGACACTGTGGCACACCAGCGTGGCTTGCACACACAGAATGGTGCTGTGCTAGTGCCACACAGGCACAGACAGCTGTGGCTCTGCCTTAATTTCTAATAGTCAGGGAGGGGAAGGAAGGAAATTTCAAGAAAAGAATCATGAATCCGAAGCCCCAATCTCCCAGCTTCAACACAGTCAAGCTTATTTCTTCTGTGGCCCTCCATGCCACACACCCACAGCCACACATGCAAAAATATGCAGTGTTTGCTTCTTTCTCAAACAAGCACCAGGCATCCTATTATTCCACAAAAGAGGCCTCCTTAAAGGCAATGCCAGCCACCATGTGCCCAAGGCTGGACGGTGGGGTACACAGGACTGAGAGGCCTGTGCATGGTGCCTCTTGGTACCGCTTTTAATTAAAGAACCTTTAGGCCCAACAGAAAATGGGATAACGGTATTTACAGTCGAGAGTTGTGGGGAGAGTGAAATGAGTTCATATACACAGAGGGGCAGAACAGGTGCTCAGCAATGGGAGGCCTCACTGCAGTGTCCTTCTGGAGGCATCAGGGCTGAATTTGAGTCTAGTTCAGCCAGGTAACTTACCCAAGGCTCCTGATTTTACATCTCCACAACTGTTTCCTTATCTGTAAAATGGGAAAATATGGCACCTGCCTCATGGGTGTCAAGTGAAGCTTCCATGAGATAATACAGGAACAGAGGACTCAAAGTTCCCTGGCCCATGGAGGACCTTGGTTTTTCCTGGGAAGCATAGAGGGAATAGCTCCTCTCAGCCCTTTCTTTTGGAGGTGACCACATGGACCAGGATTGTGGATGAGAACTGGCCCAGGTCAGGTACAGATCCAGGGTAGGAAACAGGCTCCCAAGAGCTTGGGTGAGTGGGGGACTTCTTGTCATGAACCAGCATAGAACGTGGAGCAGGGTGGAGCAGGCTCCAGAGACAGGGATGGAGACTCAGGTCGGCCTACCTGGAAGAGCTCAGAGTCGTCGTGGCTGTACTGGTTGGGCTCCGGCTCAGAGTTCTCAGGACCCCAGGGCAGCTCCCCAAAGCAAGTGGCTGAGTCAAAATCACTGGCGTCCAGCTGGGAGAGGTCGAGCTCTGGAAAATCAGCACAGAGCTGCTCCTCCCCGGATCCTCCACCCTGAGGAGACAGGAAGGAAGGAAGTGGATCAGATCTGAGCTTGCCTGGACCTCAGTGGTAAGTCTCTTGCTGCAGATCGGGACCCTGGACTGAGGCCTGGTTTCGATCGGAACCCTGGACTGAGGCCTGCTTTCGATCGGGACCCTGGACTGAGGCCTGGTTTCGACAAATGGCTAATCACCTATCTACTGGTAGCTACACCAGCTACCAGTACAAAACCTTCTGTTGCCCTCTCCGCTTCTTGGCACTCCTACACATCCCTCAATACCCTATCTGTATGGCATCTCTCTCCTCTTAGTAGAACTGTTTTGTTGAAAAGTTTAATTAGAGTCTGTAAATAGAGTTATACAACTGTCCCCAAATGTAAGGGGATTTCTTAAAGCTAACAACCCCTCTAGACTACTAATGAGACAAGATACAGTAATAATAATTGGCTGGCATTATTGAGTGATTGCCAGGTTCTAGGGAAACACTTGCCCACATTTCCAGGGATATTAGAGAGCTACTTGTAATGTCTAAGTAAAACCATTCATGCACCTGTATCATGAAATACTACAATGCTATGAAAAGAACGACACAGACTAATGGATCACCTCCAAGACATGACAAATAAAAAACCGAGTTGCAGAATATCCACATGTAGCATACACTCCCACATGTGTACTGGGAGTGAAATGTCAATCAAGCCCCACGCTTCTCCATGTAGGACAATGCAAACTCACAGGAAGAGGTCTGGAAGGTCAGGCACACACCAGCAGTGGGGGTGGGGTAGAAGGGAGCTGGAGGTAACTGGGATCAGCACCAGAACAGAACCAGTGGTTCTGTTCATAGCAAGTGGGAGCTTGCTATGTTAGAAATAATGAAAGTTCTCAGGCCAGTTCGAGATCCACTGAATCAGAAGGCAATCAGCTTCTCACTTGGCACACAGTGGACAGACACCAATGGGAGGCGGAAGATGCCCTGCAGACTCAGGTGCAGTCCGAGTCAGGAGATAGGCACTGCAGGGGACATGACAGCAACAAGGAGGGAGACCCTGGGGCCTGCAGACCTGAGTTAAAACCCCCTCTCGCCAGCTCTGAGTCTGCGTGGGGATCCTTTCTCACCTCTGGAAACTCAAGCCAGATGAGGTGCTATAAAACGGGGAAATTGTACCTGCCCTACAGTGTTGAGAGCAAAGGGATGGCACTATAGCCGGGCCCAGTAAGTGCTCAATAAACGGCAGCTAAGTGACACCAAATGATGAGGATCATAATAAAAACAGTGTTTCATGACAGGTAGAGAGGGGTGGGGACCTGCCTCAGAGAACAAAAAAAGGCAAACATGACATTAAGAGAAATAGGTTTTGCCTAGGCCATTTCCTTAATTGTTCCCACTTACTGGGCCTCATAAATTATGAAAAAATGTATATAATTAGCTCAACTTGACACAGGAAAAAGGCTTTTATCCAAATTTGGGTCAAATGTCTTAATTGGTGTTTTGCAAGAATCTTGCCTGCATGGATAGCATGAGGCCATCGCGGCTGAGTGTCAGGCCAGGCAGTATTGTGCCAGAAGCCTGTCCCCAGGGCCATGTCCCACCACCCCTGCCTTCCACCTGCCTGTTCTTTCTCTAGTACACATGTATTCAGTAGCCCTAAATATTGAGCTCCAAGTCACTTTGAGTCAAGTATTGTGCCAGGCACAAAAGCCAAGGGTGAAACAGATAAAACTTCTGTCCTCTGGGCACTCACATGACGGGGGTGGCAGAGGATGGCATCAAAAAACAAAATGATGTAAATAAAACATGTGTTTACAGTAGTCTCCCTTTATGTGCAGTTTCAGTTATCCACAGTCAACTAGAGTCAGCAAAGAATGAATAGAAATTCTAAAAATAAGCAATTTAGAAGTTTTAAATTGTATTCCATTCTGAGTAGCATGATGAAATTTTAAGTAGTCCTGGTTCTGTCTTACTGGGATGTCAGTCACCCTTCTGGCTAGTGTATCCACACTGTATATGCTACCCATCCATTAGTTACTTAGTAGCCATTAGCCGTTAGTTGTGTTATGGCAGTGCTTGTGTATAGGTAATCCTTGTTTTACTTTCTAACAATGCCAAGTGCAAGAGTAGTGATGCTACAATTTGAATATGCCAAAGAAAAATTATAAAGTTCTTCCTTTATGTGAAAAGGTTAACGTTCTTAGGGAAAACAAAAACCTCCTATGCCGAGGTTGTTTTGATCTAAGATAAGAACAAATCTTCATGTCCAAGAATTTGTGAAGGTAAATAAAATTTGTGTTAGTTTTGCTGTACCTCAAACTGCAAAAGTTAGGGTGACAGTATGTAATAAGTGCTGAGTAAAAATGGAAAAGGAACTGAATTTGCATATGTATATATAAGAAAAACACAGTATATAAAGAGTTCGGTACTATCCTCGGTTTTGGGTATCCACTTGGGATCTTGGGCCCCATCCCTTGGGAGATAGGGGGACCGCCATATAAACTGACTCTCCAAAGAACAGATGCATGCTTCTGAGCCTCTCTGGGAGCCTAAAGATGAGAGGAAACAGCACTGGCTTAAACTCTGGGTCCCCATGGTAACCCCAACCCTGCTTGCCCCTGACTGTCATCCATCCCAACTACAAATCACCAGCACTCAGCTGCCTCTCAGTGGTTCTCTGAGCTGCCACTTGAAGTTTCTGTTCCCTTAGTGCCTAGTCAGACTGTGGCAATATAGCAGTGTTTGCTTATTCTAGATGAGCAGTTGCTTTGCTTCTAATTTTGGGCCATTACAAGTAAGTCTGCAATATTTATGTACAAGATTTTGTGTGGACTGGACACCTGTCCTTATTTCTCTGGGGCAAATAGCTAGGAATGGGTTTTCTGGGTCATTTGGTAATGTGTGTGTGACTTAATAAAAACTACAAATCCTTCTCTAAAGTGAGTGTGTCATTGTACATGCCATCAACTGGGTAAAGAGTACCATCCTCTCCAACACTTGATGGTTTTGGTCATTTAATTTTAGCCATTCCAGCCTGTATTCGATGCTACGAAGAGCAGGACTCAGTTCCTTCTTAGTGTGGGAGGAAAGCATATGGCATTGATGGGGTTAGTGCTAGGACTACAAAACAAAGCAGGTGTGCAGATGGAGAATAGCGGAGGGAATGGACTCTCTCTTACATGGGTTTAGGAAAGGCTCCCTGGAGGAGCAGGCATCTGAGTTGAGACTCAAAGGAGGACAAGCAAGGTGATGGAAGCGTGGAAGGAGCATTCCCGGCAGAGACCCCAGTGGGGACTGAACCTAGGGCTTAAGGTGCTGAGGTCAGCAAGGCTGCAGCTCACAAAATGACATTGGAGAGGCAGGTGGAGGCTGGATCAGGGAGGGATTGTAAGGAATTTGGTTTTCACTCCAAGTGTAATGGGGTGGGGTCAGCATAGATTCAGGCTAGCAAAACTCCCAATAATAAGCCCTTGGCGGAGCCCTTTCACTATGTTCCTGGTCCCTCCAGCCCCAGGAACTCAGAGATGCCACCTCTGTAGGATGTGCCCAGTTTCTTAGAAACAGCTTTAGAATGAGTCCCAGAATTCCAGACAAACAGGAGCCAACAGCCCTGAAAGGTGGTCCAGGTGGGTCATGTGGACAATTTGGGAGTCAGAGACCCTTTGGAAAACCAGATGAATGGGTTGGAGGTGTAATCAGTGGTAGAGCACCTGCTTAGTATGCACGAGACCCTGGGTCCAATCCCCAGTACTCCAAAACAAAACGACCCACAAATAAGAGCTAAGAGCTCCAGACATGTCTCCCCAAGCTGCATGTGTGCACACAAGATTCACACATAACTTCCAGGCCTTCTCAGATGCACTTAAGAGCTCCTGACCTAGATCACTCTGTAGGTGTAGAAACTGAGGCCCAAGGAGGATTGTAGATCTGCTGAGGGTCATCCAGTGAATGTCCTCCAAGCCATGCCACCACCTTCACAAAATGCCCATGATAAAGCGGCTGTGATGAGTGCAGGTATTGATCCCCCATAGCAGCTGGACATACTCAAAGTGTAGCCACCTCATAAAAATAAAGAAACCCCAGCTTCATGGCCTCAATTAGGCCTAAGACCACTCTCCAGCTAAAAACCATTAGGCACTACTTTAGTGGTGACTTCTCAGCCTTCTCCACATTCGAAGCTTTTGAAGGGTGCTTCAAGTGACCCAGTTCCCTGGGAAATGTCTGAATTGAGGCTTTCTGGTCCTACCTGGCTGTTGGCCTTGCAGACTCTGCCAGGAGAGCTGGGAGATCTCATCACAAAACTCACAGCCATTGCCTTTTTTCTTTTTTTTTGGGGGGGGGGTTGATACTGGGGTTTGAACTACTCAGGGCCTGAGCTTGCTAGACAAGCTCTCTACCACTTCAGCCACGCCCTGGTCCACCACTACCATTATTGAGCACTTACTATATGCCAAGGGTACACTGAAAGCCTCATATGCACCTTCTTGTCAGTCCTAAAACAACCCTGGTAGGTGCTACTGTCTCTATGTCACTAGTCAGAAAAGTCCAAGATCAAGTGACTTGTGTTAGCCAAAACAAATGACTACATCTAGGCACATAGTAACAGCTCTGGAGGCTGGAGGCTGAGAGCAAGCAGTCAGCAGGCCTGGGTCCTCTGAGGCCTGTGAGGGAATGATCTATCCCAGGTCTCTCTCTCTAGCTTGCAGGTGGTCATCTTCTTCTTGTCTTCTCAAGTTGTCTTCCCTTTATGCGAGTCTGTCTTTGCCCAGATTTCCCCTTTGGATAAAGACACCGGCCATGTTGGATCTGGGCCCACTCTAAAGACCTCATTTTAACTTGATTTTCTGGGTAAAGACCCTATCTCGAAATAAAGACACATTCTAAGCACTTCTACACCTTTGATTTTTGGAGAATTCAATTCAACCCATAGCACTTGAGGGTTCCAGAAGGATGAAACTAGGATTCGAACCCAAGTCTTTTCTCTTCCTATAAAGCCTGTGCCACTGTCCATCATTCTGTCTGAG